AGAGGCCGGAGTTTTGGAATAATTCGCGGATTCTAATTTTCGCGACGCGGTGCGGTCGCGATATAGATCCCAATGTGTTTACATTTTTTTTTTTCGCGAATTGTAGGCGATTCGCGAAATTCACGAAAATAAAGTCGTTTGCAGTGTATCATGAATTTTTCGAGGTTGTTCTTGCCATGCTAAATTCAAATCGGTCTTCTTTATGAGACGCATAACATCGATACAATCATTGCTATCCTAATGATTAGCTACATGACGATCCTAAATTTATTATTTATCTCAGGAGCTTTTTGGGTGTTACCGTGCACTGAATTAACCCAGAATCTCTGGCAATAGAGCTGCTGCTATTGTGACACTAGTTTTGTGGAAGCGGCCACAGTTCGTGTGCTACGGTTACCCACATCCGGCATGTTACAAGTTCACAGACAGGGTGAGGCAGCGAATCATCGTGGCTGAAATGTTTTCGTAAGTTGTCGTATCCTTTAAATGTTTGACGTCGTTTACAAGTTTCTCTTATTAGCCATTTTTACGTGAGTTTTATGATACCAGTACTGTCGCATATTTGTTTCCCTGTATTATTTTTAAGTTTATTTTTTCTTGGTTTGACTTTTATACCATTTGCATAAGCTCTAAGGAGATTCACCTCGCACCTGTAAATTTTGTCGCCATTTTTTATGTTTTGAGAATATATGAACGCAGGAGTTCATTACTCCAAACTATTAAGTTCTATAATCCATTTAACAAATTTCATAAAAGGAAAGTACAATGCGTGACATTTATACAGCGGCCATATAACTCGTTTACAGTTATATGGCCCAATGTGGGGGGTAACTCTCAGAAATAAGTAATTGTAAAGTAATTGCATTACTTTTAAAAAGTAATTTGTAATTGCAATGAACTACTTTTGCGTAGTAGTAATTGTAATTGTAGTTAAACTACTTTTGGAGCTAAGTAATTGTAATTGTAATTAAATTACATTTTGAGAGTAATTTACCCATGTATGGCGTGCATAATCCACAATCATACTGACCCTACTGCAGCGGGCAGGGCCAGGGCGTGCACGAGACGCAGATAGAAGGCTTGACGTGCTCTTTTGGCCAACCAGAAGCCGAAAATGATCCGCCTAGGACGCGACAGTACAACTTGCGCCATCTAGAGGCAAAAATATCACCTGGAAGATAGCGTACGGATTCAGCTCCCACCCTCTCCACCATAGCCTCCTCTATACGGAGAAAGCCTGGCGCGTCGCGTGAAAAGACGGCCGCCGTAAATGGGAAAGGAGGGGCGGAGAAACGGGAGCGGAGAGAACCTTGCCCGCTAGCGCCACAAAAGTGCGAGCGGCCAAACGCAGAAACAATCTTTTTTTTTTTCTCTCCTTTCTTGTTGTTATCGCGGAGAGGAGAAACTCAACGTCCACCCTTTCCCGTTTCTCCCTGCGCCCTTTCGAATCGCCGCGCCCGTTTCTCCCGGAGTACGAAAACGACGGTGACGAAAACACAAAAACAAGCGTGGTTCGGGGAGCGGCCGCTCATGACCCAAGCGCTCGCTGTCTAGGTCTGCCCTTTCTGCTCTGCGCTGCCATATTGGTCACCGTTCGGCGCGCTCCTCCTCTCCTTTTTCCAGCGGCCGCGCGCTCTATGGCTCCGTCGTCGATGTGCCAGGCTTTCTCCGTATAGAGGAGGCTATGTCTCCACACTCTTTCCCTTCCCAATTTTAGAGCGCAGCTCTTAGGCACCCGTTTCCGGCTTGAGCGACGTCGGCGTCGACGTAACCGTGAGGTCACGTGATCCCTGTGAGGTCACGTGACCCCCCGAGACGAGGGCAGGAGGTTGAAGGATGAGGGGAAGAGGAGGAGACAGAGGAGGGGGAGACAGAGGAGTAGCAGGCAGGATGACCAGGTGAGGAAAAGGGAGGAGGGGTGTACCCTTCCCAGTACCCTTCCCTCCTCCTCGTCAAGAATTGTGCTCTAGTTCGGCGTTACAGAAAGTTGTAAACGGCTTTCATTTTTTTTTTCGCTCATCGGTCACTCTTTTTCTCGCCGTGCTGGCCTGCTTAGCTTGGGCCATTTGGGCTTGCTGGCACGCAGGGAGTAGTATGTTTGCTGGGCGGAGAGCGAAAATGCGCTCGTTTGCGGGAATTATACTCGTTGCTTGCTGCACTCGACGTTGCTGCAAATGACCCGGGCCGGCTGACCAGAAACTGAAACGAAAGTTTGCCAACCCTGGGTGCACCAGTGCTTTAGACTCAAGTTCAGATGCAACAACGCTTGTGCCCTAAATTTAACAGAGCTTTTTTTTTTCTTTTTTTTTTTAATAGTTTTTTGTTTAGTGCACAATTTTTACCTTTGCGATATTGGTGTGGCTAGAGTTCCCGTATAGGCTCCATACGGGAGCCAGAGTTTCGCGTTCATCTCCGTAGCGCCGTCTTTCCTGCACGGCATGTTGATCCCGCTCGTCACGTGACTGAATTCAGCGAATACCGGCGCCGCACGTTCGAGGCGCGCGGCGTGTTCAAAAGCAGGGGAACGTACGCCGGGGCGCGTGCAACGTCTACTTTCCTGCACGGCACTTGATCCGGCTCCTCACGCGATCGCGCAACTCTGGCTCTTGTGGGAGCTATACTCTGTTTCGCACTTAGTGTGCAACGCTGTCAAAGCTACTGGCGCGAGCGTGTACCTTCATCTATGGTTTTGTTTGCGCGAGAACGCGTGTAAATGAGCAACGAGATCAAGCCCCATGGTCGGGCCAGTAGCTTTCACAGCGTTGCACGCTAAGTGTGAAACAGAGTATAGGTATAGCCACGTACTCGCCCCACCATGCGGAGCTCTGGAGAAGCTGTGCTATACGCTCCTTTTGCTGGGCAGCCGAGCGTTTGGAAGGGCTGGAAGAGAGCTTTGTGCGCCAAGAATCTCCGAGGCCATGGTACATCGTAGAATCCGTGAATAGGTATTCACTGACAGTATTACAACGCATAGAGTGATTATAATGTACGTCAGAGGTCCAACTGGCGCTAGTATACGGTTTCAAATTGAAGCAGACGGCAACATGCGGAACACAAGTTCGTCTGCTTCTTTGGCGAGGGTTGTGTTGACGTCAGAACGCCGACCTCTGATTATTTTTGATCGAAGGATAGTGGGTAGATCTGAAGGCAGCTTGCTTGGAGGTCTACCCACTATTCTTGAATCAGAGCTAATCAGAGCTCGAAGTTCTGACGTCACCTCAACCCATGCAAAAGAAGCAGAGGGACTTGCGCCCCCGCATTGACTTCCGGAAATGCATTTCTATGGGAACATGTGAGTGCATTTTCTCCCTAGGCTTGATTATGAGAGCAAATAACACGAGTAATTTATACGCACTAGGTAGCTTGGAAAATTTGCCAGTCACGTAGATAATCATATTGGTCAGCTAGAACGTTTTTCCTTTCAAATCTAAATTAAAAAAAAAAATTAATATTGTTTTGTAGATGTTATGTACACTTTCCGATACTGTTAGCGTGAACACGACATCGGCGCTTTTCTGGAAGTGGATTTACGTGCCAAAAACAATGACGAACATCTCGAAAATCAAGAGAGACGTCAAGAACTATGCACAAACACTGGATTGGTACCTACCTGTGCATGTAGACGATAGATATAAAGTATAGTCAAGTAATGAATGTGATTTGAAATAAATAACATTCGTTTTATTCCATATGCTGCTCTTATATGGGTGCAATTGTAAGTTTGTTCTAGAATTCAAAACTCATATCTGCATGTTCAGAAATTTTTAAAATGGGGAAAAGCCAGAAAGCTCGTGCCGCCCGATAAATTCAGCACAATGATAAAAGGAGACACCTTTGTAGTACGTGAACTTTTACTGTTTTACGCGTTTTAACCGCTCGTAAATAGGGGGGCATTTTAGTGGCTTACGAATATCGCAGATTATCAATATTAGCGTCGTCGGGATGTTGGTGCTTTTTGAACAAGTCCTAGACCTTTTCGACTGTTATTCTTGCTTAGATTCGCCGCTCGTCTTAACGCGCTTACTGTAAAACACAGGACTGGGCCCAGAATACTGGGAAGTTAAACATCGCTTCCTGATCGAAAAAAAAAAAAAACGATGCAACTAGAGCAATTTTACTTTTATAATGTTAATAAAGTTACCTACTATTCGCTGCAACCCAAGAAACAAAGGTGATTCCTAATATTCTCCGGCAAAGAGGCAACATTCACGCGTTTTTCCCTAGGAATGCACAGGAGCACGGCAAAAGCGGACTGGTTGCTGTCTGCTTCGATTCGAAACCAGAAGTCCCATAGACTGTCGAACCTCTAGCGTGCATTATAATAATAATTATAAGATATACAACGAACTTTTCCTCATAAAGACGGCATGCACGGTGGCAAATGCGCGAAACTCCTTTGAAGGCTATAGACGAACTTGAGTTCCGCATAGTCGGGGACGGGCTAAGGATTCAGTGGAAGCTTTGCTTCCAGCACGCGCTTGTTACCTATCACCGGGCTACAGTGAAACCGGGCTTCGGCTGCGCGTGCGAACAAGTGTTGCCAAAATCAGGAAGCTGTTGAAAGTCGAAAGCCTGTGTTGTCTGTTTGCCTTCAACGTCTCTCTTTCGTTACCGTAAAAAAGGCGGAGCGCGCAATGAATTCTTCGTAAATTCTTCGTTCCTTACAAACTATACACGTCGAAGTGCACCTAATGAGACATCAATTCTTCTAACATCATCATCACCAGAGAATGGCAGTACCATCGTTTATTAAACGATGCAATACATTTCGAAGTCCTGATAAATAGGTGCGTGCCAGTCACTGTTAATACACAAGCTAGCGATCTTTACTCGTGGCTATTCGCAGAACTAAATATCTCTAATGTTCAATAAAAGGTGACGCCAAACTCGGCAAGCAATTAAAACAAATTCACAATGTCTTTTGTATAACAGTCACATGCACATCGACGTTTAAAGCAGACTTTTTATAAACGTTAATTGTTACGCGTCTTTGGTACATTTCAGACAGACCATTGACTTCTAGAGCGACGTTCGGATCGGCTTGAATGTGGTCCCATTGATCGGTACCGTCTTCTCCTCCCTTCGTGGTGGTACGCCACACTATTGTTCTCTCTGGGCATCCTGTGGCCATACACGTTCTCCATCGTGCCATCAGAGTCCAACAAAGATATGGTAGCCGAAAGAACCGTCTCGCCGTCATCTACATCGTGGTGAGCCCTGCGATGTCGTTGCACGTAAGGATCGCAGTAAGTGTGCAAACGATGCCGGCGAGCGCTATGTCTGTGTCGATCGAAGGACCTGGAGTATTCCGGAGGGCCTGCATAGATGTGCGACTTGGGGCGCTCTGGGTGTCTGTGAGGACTCGGCCTGTGGTCCGTTTTGTAGTATGAGCTGTTCCGACAGTCGACGGCGTGACCGCGGTGGTCGCGTCTATGCCGGGAGCCGTTGGTGCCGTACAGTTCGAAGCTGTCCTTGGGACCCGCGGAATGCCTTCTCGCGTTTGGATGTGCCCGTGGCTTTCGGGCCTTGGGCGGTGAGTGAGACGCGCTCCGTACTGGCTTTCGCCCAGTGCCGCCCTGCCTCGGCCTGACGTAGATGTACTTCCCCTTCCTCTTTGTCTCCCATTCGACGGGGGTCACCTGAGATCGGTCAATGCTCGATAAGAACTCTTTACTAGGGGACTTCCAGGAAACGGCGGACGGTCTCTGGTTGTCTTCGGCGTCATCCATTTCGCTGGAGATGACAATGGTGGTTGCGATGGTAATGGAGTCAGGTTCAGTGACGACCGTGCCTGTTATATCGGTCGAATCGGTGCTGTATTCGGACGTACTCCCTCCGCTAGACTGAACCGACGTGTTTGTGGTGGTGTTGGACGTGGTTGTATCCGGGGAAAGGTCCCGAGACCGGCTACGCTTCTTGGAAGACTTTCGGCTCTTCGTTCTTTTCACAGGTGTTGCCACAGGGGAGACATCATTGCTCAAGCTCTGTTGTTTCCTCTGTTTCTTTCGTGATGCGCGTGTGGACCGCTCCGACTTTCTGGATGCCTTAGATGCTTTAGACATCTTCGATTGCTTGGAAGACTGTTTTTTGACTTTAGGATGTGTCATGGGAGGTTGGGTAGACTCTTCGGCCTCTCTCGACGTCCGGAGATTTGGATTGTCGCGACCGTCTAAAACTGCAGGATTTCCTGAACCTCCCTGATTTCCAGAGTTCACATAACCGCCCATGTTATCACGATTGTTTGGGTTGAAGTTCGCCGGATCGCCGTAGACCACAGGATTGTAGTTTGCTTCGTAGCCATAACTCAGTGGTTGAGCCACAGCGACGGGGTCGGGAGCCCTAGTTTGAAACGTCCTCGTCGAATTCTTTCTCCACTCTCCCAGGTCCTGAGCCAAGCGCTTTTGTACCCCGATCACTTTCCAAATCTTCTCCTCGGCGTTGTTGAGCTTTATCTCTGCTCGTGGATCTTGGACGTCTCCTGACCATCGGTAGCGAGCAAGCTCGTTGACGAGATCAACTTCCAAATCTATCAGCTTCCATAATTTGCCCTCGAGGTCTCCCATGCTACGAACGGAGGCCTCTGGGTTTCCGTCACTGCTCTGCAGTTGACGCTTGGCTTGAACAACTTCCTCTGACGTCGCCATGACTTCGTTCACCAGCTCCTGGATGCCGACCCCTCTTCTGCTCTTGTTGCCGCTTTCGTCCCTAGCAAATGGCAGCAGGTTGCAGATGCTCTTGCAGATCCAATCCCAAAACGGAAGTCCGGGTGGCACCTCTTCGGCAGCATTTTCGTTGTAAGACCGCCGCGACCGCTGAGATGTTCTGCTCCGGCGCTTCCTCGATCTTGGCAGAGGTGGTCTCTCCGAATCGTCACCGAAGCCGCTTCGCCAGGAGCGTTCATCTCGACGTGTTCCTCGTTTGGGAGAACCCGACCTTCTCGGACGTCTGAACGTAAATTCTTCGCTGTCGTTGTCGAGTTCGTCATCTTCGGAATACGTAACAAAGTTTCTTTCTCTTGATCTTCCCCGGTACTGACGTGACAAACTCGGCCTTCGTTGTGGTCGCTGCCTTCGCGCGGGACGTGGTGATGGAGGTTCAAGTCGGGACGGCAGCTGGGCGGGCAGAAGAGTAGAAGCGGACGAATGCACCCTTGGCACAACCAGCTGCGTCGGTTGCGTGACAGGAGCTTGTGTACCACTAGGCGAAACGTTTATTTCAATTCCAGCTTCGAAGACAATAGGACCACTTTCCTTGCCACCCTCGTCGCCCTCAAATATGGGTTGCGCAGCGTCCACCGCTACATCAACGTTGGGCATTCTTCTGTAACCCATAACCTGAGCCGAATTATAGAAAACAGTATCTCCCATCGGCACGACCGAATACATTAGAGGAAAATCCTGGGGCATGTAGTGCTGCGGCACTTCCTGTCCAGCGGTATCCCAGGACTGCTTGTTGTAGTTTCCGGTAGCGCCGAAATACGAATATTCGTCCTCGTTGCGAACCCGCTCTTGTTGCGTGCCCTGGTACCTGGTAGGGACGATGTAGCGTTCCGCGCCGTCAGCAGGTTCCCGCTCGACAGGTGGCTCTCTTACGCCCAATTCTTGTGGCTGACGATGCTGCTCGGGGTAAGCCACTGCGGGCCGTCTCGACATGTCCCATGGTGGATACTGCGGGTACATCGGAGGTGTCCATGGACTCGGCGCAGGCAGAACCATGTGACCAGGATGAGGGGGCGGGTACGGATGAGGAGGACGGCCAGGATACGGGTGAGGCGGAGGTGGTGGTTGTGATATTGTCCTTTGATTGTACTGTTCTCTTTCGGGGTGTTTGCTTTCCATATGGTGGTTTACACCACTTCTCTCGCGCGTCGTGCGGTCTGATGCATCACCGCCATCTCCAGGACTCACGGTCCATGACAATGTCGTACGTAAGCGCTCAGAATGCACTGGACAAGACGGGTCCTTCTTCTTATCTTTAGGGTGCAAGCGGCAGGGCATCGTTCGGTTTCCGTGAACGGGACAGCTTTTGCCAGCTTTCTCCAAACCATCTCTCCCATTTTGCGGAGGTTTAATTGGAATCATAGGCACGATGTTGTCGTCCTCGTGATCTGACGGCGTTCCCAATGACAGCTCGATAGTAGTGGTTGGTCTCCTCTTGCTTTTCAAGTACAGACGTTTACCATCGTCATCGTCTCTGTCACGACGGGGACCTCGCTCGTGCCGACGGTTACCTTCCGATTTTGCAGTAAAAAGTTTATCCATCAGCTTGAGCTCCAATTCGTACAACTTTTTAATGCTCTCTTGGACTCTGTCGGCGTCCGGCTGAGACACAGCCATATTTCTCTGCAGTTCATCGGTAAGGTTTAGTTTCATTTGTTGTAATTTGACCATGCTGTCTTCGGCAGACTTCTGCTGGTACGGGAATACTTCATCAGGCACGAGGGCTTGCGTGAGCTCGTGCTCCATCGCAGCCACTCTTTTAAGCTTGTTCATTGCTTCTTCCCTGTTCATTTCAGGGTTTGAAATTATGGTGGACGAAATTTCCTTGTACATTTCGGCAATGGCCTGTAACTTATCCTCCGTCACGTCGGGTCTCACGGTGGTCGCCGAGACGAGTGTCTCAGTCAGTTCGTTCTCCATCTCCACAATGTCCTTCAGCTGCTTCCGAGCCTCCGACTTGCTAATTCTGTTGGCCGCAATTTCTCCGGCCAACTTCTCCACAAACTCGGACACCAGCCTACTCTTGTGCTCCACTTGCGGCGATTGACCTGTGGGAGGGAGTCGCCTTTTGGGCAGGCGCGCAGACATCATCTGCGCTTGTTGCATGAGCTGAGCAGGGGATAGTGGCAATGGAGGAGGGTGCCCACCTTGCCTTATCACTCCTCCGTAAGGCGTGGCGCGCTCTCCATTGCGCGACTGTAGGGCAGCCTTTTCGAGAATTGACACCTGGTCCTCTAGTCGCTCCAGAACTGCAGTGTCCCCGACGAGCGAGGTACACGACTCCTGTTTCCGGACAGGCCCAGCTTGTCCCCCAAACGCTCCGGGAGGTAGTGTACCGAATTTCGCGAGAGAAGCCTCGTCCAATGCTACGTCCGGAAAAACACGGGGTGCCACCTCGGGCGCCTCCAAAGCGCAAAGCAGGCGTTCTTCATCGCCTACCTGTCGGAAGCCTTGCATGTTGGCGATTTTATTGTCGTCGGAGTCCGATATACCAATCTGGCTGAAGTAGTTTATCTTCTGGTCGGTGAGTTCCCGGAGCTTTGTCTTCGAGACGTTTCGAGCGATGATTCGCAGTTCTTCCGCCGCCATGGTCCGGTATTGTTTCAGTCCCTCCTTGCGATCCATGTCTCTGGCCGCGGACAGAATCTCTTTCCAGATGGCCATCTTTTTGCCCATGAGGTCCTGGAGTGCCTCGGTCTGCTGGACCCTCTCCGCATCCTCCTTGGACATCTGTAAAGGTGGCGGGGGCGGCGGGGGCGGCGGCGGCGGCGGCGGCGGCGGCGGCGGGGTCTTCGGGGGTGACGGCGCCTTGGGCCTGGATTTTGCGGCCGCTCCGGTTTTACCGGACGGCGTCGGCGGCAGAACATTCTTGCCTTTGCCTCCTCTCCCCTTCGGCGTTTTCTTGCTGCCTTTCTTGCCTTTTTTACTGCTCATGGCGGGGCCGGTCCCGCGCCAGGCGGCTCTGGGCTGAGCCGGGGCCCAAGCGAGCTGTGGCCCAGCCCGTTAGCGGAAACGCGCTGGCCACTAGGTGCAATCAGGTTCCATTTTGGCTGGTGGATATAGCCGCGGCTCGGCCGACGCCTGCGCACCCCTCAATCCACGTTGCCGACAATACCTCGAACGCGACGAGATGCCTCTTCCTCGTCCTTCATCGGAGTACGCCATCAAAGCATAGAGTAATATAGTAAACGTAAAGAGAGGACACTAAAGCCGAATCGCGGCCCAGATAGTGCGTTTAATTCCCTCCGCTACGTGGCGCTTTTCTGTAATTTTGTTAAAATTAATTAGAACTCTTTCTGTGAGGAGTATTAATTTTTTTAATTGTTATGCTTTATAATTATTTCATAAAGTACTTAAACTTAATATACATACTATGGACGTCCACGGGACATCCAAGACATTCATGAAACCTGAGGGGGCGTCGTGAGAAAAAGAGGACGGCCGAGAGAGGCGCGAGCGGGGGCCAGCCGGGGCAAGCGCGAGAGAAGGAAAAGAACGTGAGGCACAGAGAACGTTAAAAACCGAGAGCTGGAACGGGCCGTCGACTGACGGCCGTCGTATTTCTTTTTCACTCCGCTGCTTCAGGACCGGCGGCCAGTGGCCAGCGAGGACAGCCAGGCTGTCTTCAGGGCACGAGAACAAGAGGCACCCGCAACCGGAGAAGAGATTAAAGCAAGTTACGTTCACTTCCAAACTTCCCGTTGTGTGATTTCTTGGGGACAGAGCCGTTTCTGCTTGGGGAGCGAGCGGAGCGCAGCTTAATCGGGCAGAATTTACCTATTGAGCGACCCACGAACTTTAGGACACCCTGAGGATGTACGGAGAACCGTGTGTGCTGCTAGGGATTGCTATTACAATAAAACTGCGTAAAAAAAAAAAGAAAAAAAAAAAAGAAAGAAAGGCAGCGGTTTTGGGAGCCGAGGAGCTCTCGAAAGTCTAGCGAGGAGGGAGGCAAAGAGGGAAAAGAGAGAGAGAAAAAAAAAAAAAAGCAATGCCCAAATTGAAACCGATACTAACTTGACCGAAACCGGAACCAAATTATGCTTAATGCCGCCCGCTAGGAGCGCTAGCTGTCACTGGTTAGTAGAGTGCCTTCATACACTCGCGCTGGTTAGCTATGCTGGTTAGGGAGCGCGTCTCCGACTGGTGTGGTTAGCGTCCTATCCCGCCGATACATCAAAAGTGGCCCCGAAGGGGCAACAAATGACGTCACAGAAGCCGGAGTGTCATGTCGTTGCATGTCGCGACCATGGCGGGTTGGTCGTAGGGGTCGTGTTCCAAAATTTACTCGATCTTACTCCAGGGGTAAGAGTTTTGTACCTTGGCGTTCCAAAACCTACCCGCGTCCAGCGTTCTTCAGTCTGTGTTGTCAAGTGACACGACCCGCCGGAGTAACTCTGGTTCATTTGGGTAAGATTTGGAACACAGCCAGAAATGCTGGCGAAAAGCACAAGCGAACGCGAGTGTCGCTGTCGTCACAGCGTCCCAACTTCCGGCTGTTCTGACTTCCGTGGGCTGTCACAATGGAGAGTGACCTGCAGCAGAACAGGCGTCTGCTACGTCCAACACAGCTGCTGGGACACCGCCAGGTTCGCGACCGGCGGCAACAGCATGACACTTCTATGACTGAAAAAACTGAGTGCGCAGGCGAGCTGGTGGATGCTGATCATAATGTAGAAAACCCGAGACTGCGGTAAAAGCAAGGAAACGGTGTCGGAGAAGAAAGGCAGGTGAAAAGAACGTCTCAACTTGAGATATTATTTTATCCCGTCTTTCTTCTCAGACACCGTTTCCTTGCTTGTACCACAGCCTCGGGTTTTCTTCCTAATGATCGACTTCAATGACGTCATCAGGCGGAAATCGAGGGACCCCTTTTTTGGACGCGGTAAACACATCAGTCGGAAACGTGTTGCAGGCACCATAGCTCTAGGTTGGTTCTAGTCTAGTGATAGATTATACTCCGCGACTTTTCTTGGCAATGCAGTGGAAGGTACGTCCCGCGTCCCCTCTCCCATTTTGAGTGTACGCAGGCTCTCCTCCTCCCCAATTTCCGGGGAGAGGAGAGCCTGCGTACACTCCAAATCCCCTCTCCCATTTTGAGTGTACGCAGGCTCTCCTCCTCCCCCATTTCCGGGGAGAGGAGGAGAGCCTGCGTACACTCCAAATGGGACAGGGGAATGGCGGCGCCTGCGGGAGAGGATTGTGAAAGGAAATGCGCCAATGTTGTTTGCACTGCCTGCGCGGTCTGAGCTAAATTGATTGCGCAAGCGTTCCCGCTATCGAGTTTGTCTGCTATGCTCCGCGAATATCACGGCCGCTTGGTTAGCCGCACCTCGAGCCCCCCAGACCGTGCAGTGGCTGAGAAAAGTCTGCGGCTTGCTCAAAGCAGCGTCTCAGCTGAGACTGACTCGAGAAAATGTTGTCTAAGCTAGTCTTCGAGCTTAAAGGAGCTGTGCAACAGTTTCAGTGCTTTGCTTAAATAATTTGGGAGTTGGTGTCTTGACCTTTCCGAAGAACAAAAAACCGCTTTTGCCTGCATGTCCTAGTTTTATTTTAAAAATGGACAAAGATTGAGGTTTTCAACACCTCTCAACTCCTTCACCATATTCCGAGTCACGTGCGCTGTGACGTCATTGGGGGTTGCGCGGGGTTCCGGTGAAGCTCTCTCTAGAGCCATCAGTGAGCAGCGAGAACTCATCCGCTCGCGACCGCGCGACCACGTACAGGCGGGCGCAGCGCGAACAATATGGTGAAAGGAGGAAAGTCTCATCCGGGTCCGGCCATACCCGTCCGGCTCTCTATAGAAAGCGCTCAGATGGAGTATGTGGTAAAAAGAAAATATTTCTGTATGTCCAATTTCTACTAAAGGACAAAAGACTACAGAGGTTGCTTCTAACCGAATTCCTGAAAAATAATTTTCAAACAACCTCAACATTGGCACAAGAAACAGACAACAAAAACAATCCAATCCCCGAAGAAAATAAAAAAAAAGAAGTTTATTAGCAAAGCAAACATTTCAACATATTAGAATTGAGAATGACACAACATATATGCTTGCGAGAATGTCTTAAATAAAGGTGTTGTTCCGAATACATCAAGTGTCTCAAAGAGAGGTTCCCCTTCCACTCTCGCACCAGTCGAGCGTTACTTTTATTGCAAAAAAAAAAGGTAAAAAAAAAAGGGACTATTGCGCAATGTTTGACATGGTCATCACATGCACTCGTCCCTCTCGTCGTGGCTGGTTGGGGATGGTTCCAGCTTGATGAGGTCGTCGATCCGGAGGATTGTAATGGCGGCCTCGGTCGCAAACTTGAGAGACTTAATCTTGGAGACTGTGGGCTCCAGCACTCCGGCCTTTTGGTTGTCGCGCACCGTTCCTTCGTACAGATCCAGGCCCACCCTGCCGGCAGACAAGCGACGCAATCTGAGCAAAGCTGTCCTTCTTACAAGCCTAGTTAAAACACAGATCTTGGTTGCTCTTCTGGTAATGCTTTTCCGAAACACGGTTTCCATGGTCATTTCATTGACAGGAGGGGGGATCGGTGGCCGAGTGGGCTAGCGCACACCAGCTCGGAGCACGTGAAGCGAAAGCTCGCGCTGCAGAACCCAGGGATCCTGGGTTCGAGCCCCACCCCTGCCCGTTTCGATCTGGATGAGCATCGTACCGGCGTGCGGTCGTGTATCACTACTGCGTGGTGTCTGTTAAAGACCCCAGGCTAGCGGCTGTACCGCACTGGCTAAATTTCTCATCTACAGCTGGGAGACTCGTCGCCCCTGTGAGGCAGACCAAGTTCTAGGCTGTATAAACACACACACAACCCAATTTTTTTCATTGACAGGATGGGAACGAAGGGAAGGTGCTCCGGTTGTTCCGCCTCCAGTGCGTGGGCGCTTTGAGTGCCTGCACGTAGCAGAAGTGCGGCAGAAGCCACCGAGCATATGCTGGAGGCATCTGAGAGACATGCTCCGTCATTCTCGTCCTGTCAGTAACCATGGCAGTGAGGAAAAGATCTAATTGTCAAATTGCAAGCTTCTGATGGTTTCACCGCTTCAGCTCCTTTAAACTTAATGCCTATTAAATATTTCAAGGTACCACCCACAGACGAGCAAAATATTTCTCTTTCGACACGAGGTGTGCGGCCCAGTTACGATGCAGACTTCGAAGTAATTTGTTACAAGTAACAATTACAAGTAGTCTGTTACTTTTGTAGTAATTCTGTAATTTACACGTTAATTTTATGGAGGTGTAATTCCTAATGCAATTTAATGACTTTTTCTGTAACAAATTACCAACAGTTACTCGTTACATTTTTTGTTTATTCATAAAATATTCAAGATTTCAAACGAAATAAAATTTATAATGAATTTCGGGGTCATGTCACAGGGGGCACAAAGACTGAAGTGAAAAGTTTGTGACACGATCTCCGCAAGAAATAAAGTAGGTGGGGCGAGGGGAAGCAGAGGGGGAAGTTGACTAAGACAACACCAGAGTCGCTTACACAATGATAGCTTGCTGCAGTTCGGTTGCTTTTCCACGGGAAGAGGAAGCCTCTGAACCTTCATCATTGGATTTGTGGTGGGGTGACAAAAGGATAAAAGAGCACTGGCCCATAAAAATGCCACATGGCACTGATCTCCCAACATTGAAACTGTGGGGTGTGTTGGGCTGCATCTGCTATGTTTCTTCTGTAAAGATCATTACCAGAAAGTCTGCGCAATCTAGTCCCAGCCCGTGCACCGATTCCAGAAGTGCAAGGACGTGAATAAAGACATAAGCAACACACGGAGAGCAGGCTCAAAGTCAAACTAATAAATTTCTTTTGCGTCTTCTAAATAAATACACTAGGCACTGCGGCTGTGTGTGCACCAAAGCCAAAGGGGTGTCAGCCCTTTCTTGATCATTTGCATTTTGTGCAGCGAATCTGTCGGGGTCGCTCCAAGTTCTGAGTAAGGGGCGGGACGAAATGCCAGAAACAATCCAGTTTTTAGAACAATTTGAGAATTCCACTGCCTTGTAACATTTTTAAAAGCAATCTTTTTTTTTTTTTTTTTCGTTACACGGCAAAGAAAGCATGTAGTTTTCTTCCCATGATGGAGGCTCAGGCTTTCCATCTTTCTGGTAGAGTGGAGACGGAACCCCAGGGCCCAAGTTCAACTTACAAGCAAACCTTGTGTCGTGTTGAAGAACTGTCATGCTGTAGTCACCACCTCCGCTACTGAGCTTACCGCAAATTCTGTCTGTTTCCTGTGCTTAGCTGTTTTTAACGAGAATTTCACATTTTCTTCGTCTTAGTAGGGTGTAGCCCTTGTCAAATCCCGTCTTTCTCTCAACCCTCTTTTTCTCCTCCTACTTATGTAGGAAAGTTTAATGTATATAAACTTTTTTTCTGCTGTTAAATATTTTCTACCGATGTCCTTCTCTAACTGGCTGGACCACAGCTACAGAAGACGGCAGGGGTTCCAGCAGTGAGCATTCCGCATTTCTCTTCCACTGTCACCATGGCCGTTGTTAGACTCCATGTTCAAGCGTGAAGGCACCAAGAGAACTGCGAGTTTAAGGTTCAATGCCTACTCTACCTCCTTGAAAGAAAGCTGCTTTCATCAGCCAAGACCACAAACTCCAACTTACGAAAAGTTGCAAATGTAAGTTTTCTTTTAAATTAAACTGACATGCAGCATAAAGCATGCTTTGAACAGTTGCTCAGGGAGTTTGCACACATTAGATTTCCATAAACTGAAATTAGTATCGGAAGCTCATAATGCTGCTTCCAAGCATGCTTTAAATAGTGCCACAGGAGCGATATATTGGCCAGCGAAAACGATTTGCTAAATAATATGATCTTCTGCAAGGCTCTAGCGGTTATAATCAAAAACGGTGGTGGGCTTTTGACATGTACTGCGTACAAGTTAGTTTATTGAGCAAAACATAAAATTAATTTTGGGTTTGAAAATTACTAACTGACAACTCTATTGGTTCATTTGAACTGTGGGGAAAAGAAATTAGTTGTCCTCTACAGACAGCAAATAATTATTTTATCAGCAAATACAAGGTTACCAGGTGCAAATCATACCCTTGTATGTCTTCGAGTAATTGAGTAAAGTAACAAAGCAATTAATCTATTACCCTTTATAGCCAGTAATTCATTACAGTAACTTTCATTTGTATGGTCAATTAATTGTAATTAGTTACTTTTTCCAAGAAATGGGTCTTAGCAAGCGCAGGCAGTATTTTTTTTATGTGGAAGCACTAGCTGTCTTATAGGGAGAGCCGATGTCATCAGCTTTGCAACTGCACCAAACGGCACCTTAAATCCTTGCTCCAAGTGAAGCTAGCTCCCAGCCCTGAAACCATGCAAAAAGCTAACCAACGACACCTAAATTCCCCGAACCCAAAGGAGCAGAGTAAAGCTGATGGATTTTCGGCTTCAGTCCCATTGGCTGGCATGCGTCGACGAGGCTCCCATTGGCCGTTGCGCATTAGTTTCAACGTCGGCCACCCCGTGGCGCTGCAAGTCCGTCAGCGCGCCGCTAACACCAAACGTCCAAGGTCAGAGCGGCGAGAAGAGGCACCCTCTCCTCACCGGCATAGCACACCACTCTGCCGTCGACGCAAATACGCTGCACACGAAATAAGGGAGCGGAAGAATGAGGTACATGCTTTTGCATTCACAACTCATAAGAAATGCTTAGGTGTCTATTCAAACCTTTTTTTATTATTACTTTCTCTCACAGTTGAAATGTAATTATCATAAATAATAGCGTGGTGGATCGTCCATGTGCGGAGAGCTGATCTAGACGGTGATAATATGTCTTGGACACTAGGCTATATAGAAAAATATGAAAATCTGTGTACATCAGTTGTGCAAACTTTACCACAGTAAATTCAAAATTTCCCGAGCAAATATATAGCCAAAAATACTGTCCTGAACAATAAAAGTAAATAATTGAATGAAATTAGACTGTTACAGGAAACCTCAAGGAAACATGAATAGTGAATGTTTTGTTCATAAAGCGACCTTCATCAGCTGCGTGCAAATTGTGGCTCACATATGCGCAGAGTACTCCAATTATCCTTTTATAACTACTGATACCAATTGTGAAACAACCATTATGCAGGGTCTTGTACCCTAGATGCGAAACAATCCACAACTTCCTTTTGAGGGGTATTCATGCCTTACCTTATTTGTAGCACTTATAATATCAATAAAAGTTCCTCAAGTTGAATTCAAAGTGGAATGCAGGTGGAGGCAAGCCCCCTTACTCTGCCCTTCAACTTGGATGCGTTCAAGAGCATCTCACTTACAACTAAAGAATTTGCATGACTGAGGTAAGGGCCGAGCTTGTGAACCAGCCCCATGGCGATAACCATCATTAAACCTACCACAATCTAAACCCCGAGGCTCAGCCTTTGCGCCGACGTTGTTCCATCTACTGCTGCGACGTTTTGAAAATTAAGCGAGGGCACCTGTCGTATTTCGCGCCCTTCCCAACTTTCCCTTGATCCCAGAAAGCCCCATACGTTTCACCGACACATGCTATCCCTTGTTCCAAGTTCGACTGATTTAGCGTGCACAGATAGTGAAGCAAACCGGGTGTCTACTCACCACTTGAGCTGGGCATGCTCCTGCTTGGTCTGGGAGCTGTTGTGGTAGGCTCTCAGCTTGGCCACCAGGTCGGTGGCGTCCTTGGCGGCGTTCACGGCCAGCGTCTTGGGGATCACCAGCAAGGACCGGGCATACTCGGCTATGGCCAGCTGCTCCCGCGAGCTCTGTTCAGGAAGTGCCAGTGCGTTCGATCGGTACCAACAAAGGTGACTGGTATGACCATGATTTTCAACCTTCTATTACAAAAAGAAACCAGCTCGTTTGATTTTCTTGCATAGTATGCAAAACAAACCAGCTGGTTTTGTGCACTGCGTGTATGAGCTAAACACAGGGTTGCGTGTTGAGACCCCATAACCTATGGCCAAGACAGCAGATGCTGTCCCAAAACCATGCTCGTTGCCACCTCAAGAAAAAAAAAAGCGAGCTACGAGCACAGTGCAAACGCCGCACAAAGTGCTTCTCGCAAGAGTTGGCCGAAAGAGAAAAAAAACAATACCTTACGAGTCTGAAAAGTGCACTATTGCTTTCAATATGAGCTGAAACAGTTCTTCATGCTTTAGTTATAACAGTAGAACGGTTATAATGAAGTTGACGGGAATCTGAAATCACTACACCATATCCACTTTTTCGTTATATCCGGACTGCATAAATCATGCAAAAGTGGGTCACACGAGCACAAATTTATTGCAGCTGCAGAAAGCGGTCGAGGCTTCCCTGCACGCGTTGTCCGAGCGTGTGCTTGACGACGGCTGCCTCAATGCCATCTAACTGGGAGTCGAAGCTCCAATCGAGGCGATTACCTGCTGGAAGTGTTGCACTTAAAACAGATGGCGCTGGCACAAGGGAATGACGCAGCGCGATGTTCGGTCGACCCATGGCGATAACACTGGCTGCCATGCGCGTCAACGCGTGTTGGCTTCGTCTGCTCCGTCTTATGCAGGTCACAGTTACTTTCACACTTAGAGTGTGTGTTTGTAGCGTTCTTTATTGGTGATTCCAATGCCAGTGCACGCTTGACTGTTTTTTGGAAGGTCAGATATTTGTCTTCCGAGAATAAGCTGCGTTGTATATCGATGCGCTGTAACCCGCAAACAAATCTGTCCCGGAATGATGCATCAAGAAAGCTTCCAAACTCGCACGTATGGGCAAGCTTTTGCAGCTCCGCTACGAATTGCGATATTGTTTCTTCTTTTTTTATCCTTCGGTGAAACTTTGCTCTCTCGCCTATTACTGACAGTGTCGGTGATAGGTGTGGTAGCCGCAAGACCTCGCTCTCTGTGCTTTTGGAGCAGTTGACAACTTTAACAAAGCGTACGTGTTGGGTCTGATGAGGCTGATAAAAGCGTCCGCTTCCAGCTTTTCAGGCACCTTGTTAGCACAGAGATACGCTGCGAGTCGCTCTTCGTAGGACAGCCAATCGCTAGTTGACTCATCAAAATGTTCAACTTCCCCTAGTTGGGAAGCCATGTCATGCAATAGGTGATGAAACCATTCTTGTCTGGTGATTGGTGGGTGAGGGATGCAGCGAGGCTAGCAGCTCAGTAGTTCGAAGGACCCTCTTCGTTGCCAATTATGTGGTGTCCAGGGCCAAGAAGAGTGAACGTCCATCAGAACCGACATGTTTATTGCAAGACAGGTACGAGCAAAAAAGAGTGCGGTGTCGCGGTGAGCAGTTCTCTATCTAGGCTAGCTGGGCGTATAGGGGAAAGGGTGTTACTACGCAGGTAGGCAAAGGGGAAAACTGTGTGAACTGACAACCTTATCAGCGCGGACCAAGTCGAGAGCTGCGAGGGCTGCTGTGGAACAGACCGGCAGGGGAGCGGCACTATCGCCCTCACTGGCATCTTCGCCAGTGGAAAAGTCTTTGTCCACACTGACTTGTCCCGCACCCCCGTTCGTCACACCTCGGACGATGACATCCGTTAAGAGATCCTCGGTGGTGATGAAGTCGTCGTCCACGCACACAAATTCCATGCGGTCTACGCCCGGGTGGACAAGGTTTGCCTCGCTAGCGTAGACCGTCAACTGCTTTATGCCAGCTGCCGCCATGGCACCACCAGCGACTGGGATGACCTTGCCAGCAGCTACATTTCCAAGAGCCGCTCCAGCTCCGCTTCCCTGTCGCACAAAGCTGCCCTTCCCAAAGCAGCGAGATGATCTGCCGCACGACGTCCCTCCGGGCTCTGCTCAAGAAAAAGAGAGCCCGGGACAGCGGGACCTTTAAGCTGTTCGGGTTCATGGCGGTTTGCATGTCGACGAGGAGCCGCTCAATGACAGAACGTCGTTAGTGAGCCTTGAAATTCGCTACGATGCACTGGTCCAAGGGATAAAGCCTGGCCGTCGTGTTGAGGGGCAGGAAGAGCACCTCGACATTGCTGAGGTATGCATTAATGTGGTGAGCGGTGCAATAGACCCCTTCCAAAATTCAGTGCCATCTGGTGGTTTGTAAAGCAGTTTAGGTTTTGCCATATCAATGGCGGAAATGAACTTGTATCGGAACCGTCACTTTCGCAAGTCAACAGCACGCGAGGAATTGTTCAGTGTCTTCTTTCTCGATCACATTCAGTTCGAAGAACCTGCATTCCGAGCAAAGCTCCAACCCACTCAGATGCCTCGAGAAAATTCTATACACCAAAGTGCTTTAAAGCAGATTGTGTGCCGCACACAGATTGACTGAATCTGAGTCATTAGAAATAAACGCTTACGTAGCTCTTGTGTTCCATTCCTACGTCGCGCCGTACTGACCCCCCGAATGTACAGGCCTCGCAAGATCCGCTTAGGAGCTTCAACGTCTTCTTTTATCAGTCACTAGAAGGCCGCCATTGGTATGGCACAGATGCCGTTCCACTGATGATGATAGTGATCAAAGTGGCCAGACTGAATTTCGGAAAGGGTCTATCAATGAGAAACGGGAGGAGCTCGCAACTTTTCTCAACCATCTCCTTGTCAAAGTCCGTGAGCCACTCCCTGAAGAGAGTCCTTGTCATCTATGCCTTGCTCCGATCTCTGTACCTGACCGGCAGAGACAGGATGTCTTATAAGCCTTGCGGGTTGCACGACTTGCCGGTGACAAACGCATCCCACTTGTCCGATCCATCCATGTTGCAACACAGAAGAACCGTCACCAATTTCTTGCTATCTTTGCCGCCGACGCACTTGACCACCTCGGCTGCGAGCGTCTTCGATGGTAGCATTTGTAAAAACAAGCAAGTTTCGTCCGCATTAGGGATGTTCCCGTCCTCGTACGACGATTATGATGTTCTGTGGCTGGAAATCATCGTAGCCAAGAGGAAATTCGACGTTCCGGGCCTGCGTGAGCATGATGCGTCGACAAACCACTCGTAGAGTGCCTCTTATACATTGGGGTAGGCGACACTTCAAATTCGCTTCCGATTACCTCCCCTGACGTTGTTGGCCAGTATGATTCGCGACTCCAAGTAACTATAGGTGGCGCCACTTATTTTTCAAGATGGCGGGTTTAGTGAGGGTCAGAGATGCGTGCCGCTGTTGAGCCTGTCTAGTGTGCTGGCTTCACTGAGCGAAAAAAATTATTTCTGGTAATACGAGGAAGCTAATGTTTTAGGAGCGCAGGTCACCTCTTTTACCCGAAAACAAGAACGGTGTTCAGCGTAATATTTACGCAAGGATGCGCGTTTTAATTCTGCAGCGAAACCGAAACTTACCTCTATTTTGGATTTAATTTCTCGACAGATGTCTTAATTTCGGATTCTTTCATGACTCAAGATGTGTCTCACATCGTAATTATTTACTTAGAAAAGTTGTTCGCGGAAACTTTATTTTGTGACATACTGTTCGATCCAGGCTGATATTCGTCGTTGTTGAAAAGATTAATGCTGATATCTGTGCGTTCTCGCTGCCTTTTTCTCGCTCAGATAATTGGCATGGGAAATAATGACAATTATCCCAGCACAAGAATAAGAGAATAATTTCAATTTTTACAATATGTTCACGAAACGCATAAACTAATAAACGCTGCTCTCACTGCAACAACCCAAGACGAAATCCGAGTCAGACAGCTAAAGTGTGTGTGTGTGTTTTTATAGCACCGCGTGACGCGTAGGACTTCATATTACATCCAGCGTTTAACTGTTTGTCTATCTTGATAACTATGTCAGTTTTTCATATGCTAAAAAGAAAAGAGAATTATACCTTTCTGGAAAGACTATTCTGGTTAAATAGAGTATTCTCGTGATCTTGGCGTTAATTAGAGGCATACATTGCCGCGATTTGTATTATAATAATAATATTAAAATTCGCAGATCTAAATAAGAAATTATTCAAGCTCTAATTTAATTTGTTGCTTATGATTTAATTTTAAACGCGCGAAGAAATATGACAATGAAAACTGTGCTAATTATCATCACTCGTTCTAATTGCTGCATTTTAATTACAAATAAAATAAAAATAGTCTAACATCAATGAAATCATTCTAGCTAATGTGAGAATTCCATGTAAAATTACATTAATTGTGGGTAAAGTATATTGTGATATCAAAGTCCCGACTTTTGACAATCGGCGAAACATCCAAAGTCGCCGCCAATATACTTCCAGATCAAAAGCCCAAAAGTTAAAAAAAGCCTTTTTTTAATTACTATTTTTTTTCATAACATTTGTTTACTTTTGTATTTGCTCGCCGTCAATTTGCCCATCTCAGCCTTTCCAGTTCGAAGGAACGCCTGCCTGCTTGCACGTCTTCTCACTGCAGCACGTTTCGCTGGCGTTGGAAGCCGGTGAAACAGTAGTGAGTTTTAATATTGCGTATACGAGCGAACTCAAGCCCTGTGTGTTTGCGTTAGCTTTGCGCGTTCCACGCTGCGCGTGCGCGGAGCCCGAAATTGCGGTCTTGGATGGCGCATGGCGATGAGGAGCACGAACAACGTGGGGCACGCAACTCTAACGCAAACGCACACCGGTTGCGTTTGCTTCTATGCGCAATACTAAAACTCTTCAGTAAGGTACAATCCCATACCGGCTGCAGCACTACGTTGGGACAGTGAAGAGTGTTGTTCGCATTCGGAAAAGACATTTCGCAAGCCATGATCGCGAGCAGTTCCGCCATGCCCGCTGAGCAGGAGAGTCGGGGGACCCTCACTAGAGCGCTTCCCGTTTCCACCGCGGGAGGGCGAGCGTCGAGCTGGAGACGCGATGAGCCTCAATCTTGTCGCCGTTCTTTACGATGGTTGGCAGCATCAACCAGGCAATCCCGTACTTGATGGCGACGTCGGCTATTTTTATGTACGAGCGGACCTTATCCAAGATGGCACGCTTCTGTTGTGGAGAAATTCTTTTCCTCTTCCCTGCCCATGTGTTGGGGCCTGGTACACACTGTATTGTTCAAGTGCCTACGATCTTTGACTTGACAATACAAGCGAGCGCCGTTGAAGGCCTCGTGTTGAAACAAAGTCCCCAGTCCAGAAAATGGCGAGAAGAGAGGGTCGATTTGCAACATTGAATACAAGAAGCACAGAGCAAACACTGCGTTGCGCGCATTGCTACCGTTGCTGCCAAGGGGCATGGGCGAGAAGGGCAAGGGGGCAAAAGCTGTGATAGTCGCTGCCGTTCAGAACGCTCCCGTCGACACGCCATGTAGGCCTCATTAAAACTTTGGTTTCGGCTAGTTGGTCCATGTTAGGTATAAGGTTTAAATGTGCAAACAGACAGGGACAATAGAAAATAACACAAACGACAGGGACAAGGAGCTTTGTCCCTGTCGTTTGTGTTATTTTCTATTGTCCCTGTCTGCGCTTTTAAACCTTATACCTACCATGTAGGCCCCTTTTGCATGGGATGCGCGAAAGCAACCACCCGTGTAAGGTTCAGAGAGCAGACGACACAGCAGAGGCCACCGCTGGCAACCTTTGCAACATCGTCTGCTCTTTCTTTTCTTTTTACCCAATTTGTTGGTCGGTCTACAGTGACTAACCGCTGCGCTCTGCGACTCGGAAACTTATCTAAATTATATTTATTTTCTTTAATTATTGCACAATTTCTCTTCGCTATATCCGTGGAAGCACCTCAATGAGCTGCTTTAAAACCAAACACAAACAGATTGAAAAAGCACAAAAGGAAATGGGAAATTGCGACTGCTTCGTTATAGCGGCTATTTCGTTATGACCGACTTCTTTATAACGGTCTAGACAGTAGAATGCAAAGTTGAGGTTCCATACATTGGACTGACAAATCGAGAGATAACGAAGCTCGCAGGGACCGTAGAGGCAGAAAAAAGCCAGACGGGGCGCTTCGGGCCCTATTGTCGTGCTAATCGTGATAGTACACTTCAATAACACAACCACTAACTGGGCGAAGAGGTGCAAGTAAGTTTCTTAATTCATTCGATAAAGCGGGAAAATTAGGAACACCCGCAAAGGGCCACACATCTTTTTTTTTTACATTTCTGAGAGCGCTAGGAAACACTCTCATGCTTCGGTTTCGAGGCAGATTTACATATGCTGACGTAAAACATGCACTTTTTAAGCCGGCCTATGAAAAGTGGGAGCCACTGTGATCACTCACCAGAGAAGTGGCAAAGTTCTCGAGGTAGATGGAGAGAGCTGCCTCCACGGCACCCCCTCCTGGCACCACCGTCTTGGACTCGAGCACGCGACGGACCACGCACAGGGCGTCGTGGATCGAACGCTCCACCTCGTCCACAAAGAAGTCATTGGCACCGCGCAAAATGATTGAGCTGGCCGTCTGCACCTTGGGCCTGGGTCGGGAAGAAAGAAATGGGGATCGCTCGCATCGGAGGACGAGACTGGGAGACAGACGTGCAACACCCAAGTCGTCGCGGTCAGTTCGCACACATCGAGCTCGGAGTGAAAGGCAAAATACTGCACCCCTTCTTCGTAACAAATTTGAACTAGTGAGATGGGTCATGTGACATACAAAGCAAAATAACTTGGAAAACATGCAGTGGTCAAGACGCCAAGGAAATAAAGGGAAAGCAGGTAAGCACGCGGAGGTGTAGCGTCGTGAACACGAGACATTAAAGGACATATGCAAAGGATAACAATAGAATTGCAGGCTTTAGTCAAGCTAGTTGGTACATACTACAGTATAGACCACTTACAACGTAACCGCTTATAGTGCAGGACCGGGTATAATGCAGTTTTTTTAAACCACCGGTTCACCTCCCATAGAACTCCATGTAATTACATACCGCTTAAAATGCAGGCGCGCAAAGGGAAATACCGGTTATAGTGCGGTTTCTGGAACAGCCCGCCGACCGCGCCGACGACCGGAGCAGCGAGCACGCTTCCCTGTGCGACACTAAATAATGGCGCTAGCCGCAAGCGGCACTCGCGGGGCAAGGAGGTTGCTCGAAGAAGCGGGAGAAGCGAAAAGAGAGGCTTCAGTTGCAATAGCGACGGAGGGACGCACGCACGCGTCGTTCACGTGCGTGCGTCCCTCCGCTGCGTTGGAAAACAACCGCAATGACAGACCAATCGCAGGTCGAGGAGAAGTGTTCGCGCGCGTTGCATGCCGGTCGCGGGCCGGCTTCTATCCGCAAACATGGCGTCGGTTGTGATCGTCGTCGTAGACGGTGTGGTGGAAGCTCATCATTACGCGTAAAAGCGCTATCCTTGACTGAATTTTCGTTGTGTGTCGCTATGGCAACCCAGCACGCACAAGAAGGGAAGATCCACCTACTCGTGCGGCGATGTCGTGGCGGCGCTCTCAAGACGGCAGAAACGCCCGTGTCGTCGTGTTTGTTTACTTCGACTACAGTGGTGCTCTCTAAGCATTTGTGTCCTCGAACATCGCCCGGATTTCTTATTTGGTGCATGTCATGCGTGTGCTCAAGTTGAAGGTATTACTGGCGCATACTGTATGAAGGATGCAAATTTTCACGTGTTTTCATCACTGGAGAAAAGTGATTAGGGTTAGCAATCCTGAACGCTCGCAACGTCCGTCCGCAACCCGCGACGCCGTTAAAAGGCTGCGCCAGGCAAAAGCCGCTCATTTCTTTCAAGATGTGTGACACACTTGAGACAGAACTGTACTAGTCTAGTGAAATAAAGACTTTCCTCAAACTAAGCTTTATTTTTCAACTAACATAAAATAAATTCTTTTATAAAGGTAAGTTGTCTCATGGCATGTACTTTGGCCTGAAAAATTGATGTTTTGGTTATAGCGCGGTACCGTTTATGGTGCGGATTTTCGCGACTCTGCGACATACGTTATATGCGGTCTACACTGTATTGGCAATCAGGTCAGCTGAACACGGAAAAACAAGGACACGAAGGAAAGGACTGGAAAAGCGCACCGCTGTCTAACAACTGACTTTTACTTTTTGCTCATCCCAGCCTAGGCCCTTTCCCCTTTGTCCTACAGCACATTAAAGGAGCCGTGCAACAATTTCAGTGCTCAGCTTAAATAATTTAAGAGTTGGTCTCTCCACCTTTCTGAAGTAAAGAGAAAAAAAAAAAGATGCTTTTGCCTGCATGTCCCAGTTTTTATTTTAAAAATTGACAAAAAAATGAGGTTTTCGGCACCTCACAACTCTTTCACATCTTCCGAGTCACATGCGCTGTGACGTGAATGGGGGACGCGTGGGTTTCCAGTGAATCTCTCTCTCTAGAGCCATCAGTGAGCAGCGAGAACTCACACGCTCGCAACCGTGTGACTATGTGCGTGCGCAGCACGATCAACACGGCGAAAAGAGGAAAGTGCCAACATCCGGGTACGGCCATCCCCGTCCGGCTCTGCCCCCGTCCCCCTCCGGCTTCTGGCGGCTGTTCGCGGTTACATATAGAGATGACGGTTTTGTTGACCTCGGATAGACGGCGCCATTAAAACTCCATATAAAAAAAGTTTTGTCGATGATACCAGGTTTCTGACGCATTTATATTTATGTTGGAAGGACAAGATTTTTAAAAAGTTACCCTTTATCAAGCAGGTATTTGCACAACTTCCTATCTTCAGGGGTGGAAGCGGGCTAGAGCCTTTTGTATCAGGGCTGGGAGCAGCAAAAGTCCCACTTTGGAGCAGTTTTGGAGCAGTAAAAGGCTCGCTTTAGAGCAGCTCGGGAGCAGCAAAAATAAGTTTTGTAGCCGTAGAAGTAGGTTTTGGAGCAGGTCACGGAGGTCAAACAGGTGTCTAAAAGTGATTTGTTGTTTCTAAATGTGAAAATGCAGCAAAAATATATGCATGCACATCCCAGAATAATTTTCAAGCAACATACATACACAGCTTTCTATTTCTATTGCATTGAAATATGGAATATTGGCAATTTATGCAAAGGAAAGGCTTCGAGAACCATTCCGGCAGCAGGCAGAGTCATGATAGACTTTATATGGGAGGCTCCGACAATAAAAGCCTAACTTGAGCCACGCCAGTACAAAACCGTCTACTTAATAGACCAATTGTAAACATGTATCCAGAAAACTAAACCACTGCAAGGTGTCAGATAAACTACCTTCGCTGACTACAGTTTTTGTTTAATAAAGAATACACATGTTCAATCAGTGCTTAAAAAGCCCTATATCAAGTTTAGTAACAAAATACAAGGCTACTGACATTTGACAAAAATTCAGATGCAAAATAAAATGTGTATTTTATATTTTTAGAATACCACAGTCACTCGTACATATGCAGCTTTAAGCATCGACTAGAAGAGCAACGCAACCTTATGTACTCCATAAAATGCTGTGCATTGCGTGTCTCCATAAACATTAAGGTACCACAACATGTTTCAGAATAAAGCAGTCCTTGCTGACTTGTTTTCATTAAATACAAATGTTCTTAATCCCTGATCATAAAATACAGTAATCCCTACACCCAAGTTAACATACAAAGCTATAGCTATATTACTTTAGATGGAAAAATATATTGTCTTAAAAATATCACAGCCACTAATACATATGCAGCATAAACACTGACTAGAAGAGCCCACAGGCTCCATGTTAAAAAAAAAAAAGGGTTGTGACTAAGCTGAATTTGTGTAATTTAGAAACAACTGAAGTTCACCTTTTTTTTCACAGTTTGAAGACCAGAGTCAATTTCTTTTATGCGCTCGAGTACTTTGGGCAGTTTAGAGTACACATCACTTAGCAGGAGGTGTCCACTCCCCACCTTGTCCATGTCCTTAACTGCCTCACCCTTGCTTATGAGTTCTTGTGCACTCAGTAGAAGTGCTTTAAGAGAAGACAGTTTGAACGAGACTGAAAATGAGATGTAGCTGATCAGGCGCTGATCCCTGCGGGGCAGGCTGCCTTCTTACGTGACAACAAGCCCACCAACTTCTTTCTACCCTACCCAACAACCCCCCCCCCCCCAACCAGATACACCTGTACCCGAAACTTATACGAGTAGAGTGGCTATAGCAAGTTAAGGTACGTTCTTGACAGGAATCGGCAGCGCGGGAGTGTTGTACGGCATTTCTGATATCACCCCCACTCCTCCACGCTAAAGGAAAGAAACAAAAAAGTGTGTAGCACTGCCAATTAACCAACTCGCTTAAGATCGCGGGTATTGTTTTCGCTAGTGGTCTGACGGCGGGAGACAACACACGACAGCGTGCACATTCGCGCACACAATGATGGTTTTGGTAAGACAAATTGAGCTCGAGAACGGATGTGCCTGTGCTCGCGATTCTTCACGGCTAAGCATCCAAATATGGTAGGCTACCAAATAACAGGTAAAGCTAGTAAAGACCACTTACTTCTGCTCATGTTAATGGCCAAGGTAGCCCACCGGTGCCGAGGCACCAACTCCCACGATCACGGCAAATCGGGACCACGGGCAACTGCATGCGCGCTCCAACCGCGCCAACCAACTATGCCCGAAACCAAACCGATGTGTTCGTATATCAAGCTCTTTGTAGTAAAAAACGACATCGCACTCTCGATGAACTAAAATCGACGCTTCGCCCTGAGGTTACACATGGTTCGGAGCCCCAGTCGAGTTGGTACGAGTCACCCGCAGTGACACCTAAGCAAAAGTACACACCACATGGTGGCTCGTGGCCAACCGTTTTCCGCTAAATTTAAAGAAAACACTAAAAAAAAAAAAAAAAAAAAATTTTGAAATTGGCGTTTTGGAGCAGGCTGGCGCAGGGAAGTGAATTGGCGCAGGGTGGCGCAATTGGCGCAGCGCTTCCACCCCTGTATCTTTTTACAAGCCCCCCATTGAAGTCATGCCGCGTAGTTCTCATGGTTGCCGCTAGCGGTTGCAGGTCGGGAAATATTCTAACTTGCCTCGCGATTACGCGGTGGAATTGCAACATTTCGAAGGAATGTTGCAATTCCAGATGTGTTTTCTGTTCTTTGTGACAAGGTAAACAATGTCAAAAGTAGAAGATGCAAATTCTTTCAACAATAAGATCATTGCATAGCTGCTTTAAACACGTTTAAGACAACCTTCTAGCCCACCACTCAATGGGGTGTAGCAAACCGCAAATACTGGCAGTCTTTTTTGTGAACCGTAATTGATGAGGTGCTCACGCAATCTTCTCCCTTTTCTTCAATAGTCAAGGCCTCCAGCACTTCACGCGCGAAGGAGTTCTTGCTCCTATGAAGGACGGTTATGCTGGTGAGCACCGCATCACATCTAGAGGTCCAGCAGTGAGCTGACAAATGTCCTGCTGATGTACTTTTCACCGACGCGGCGTGCTCCCTTGCTCTATTGTTAATACATCGGCCAGTTTGGCCGATGTAGTTCTTCCCGCAAGAGAGGGGAATACGATAGACGATCCCCGTCGGGCTGTGTCACATATCGGCTGTTGATCATGTCCTTTGTTGACTCTGCGGCACATGGCGTATGCTTTGTTCGGTGCCGAACAAACCAGATTACCTTGCCTGCCTGCAATCTTTTTTTAGTCTGTGGGTCACTCCATAGATGTAAGGCACAACCGCGATTTTGCATCGCGTTGGTGGATTCATTGCTTCCTCGCCACTTGCTGCTCTCTGCTTGTTTCTTGGAGAGGCTCTCACATACGCTTCCTAAAAGAGCGCTCGAATAATCAGAATCGCGTAGTCGGGCAATCTGTTTTATAAAGCTTGTCTCAACTTGATGATGGCAGGACTTCCTTAGCGCAGAGAAAAGAGCAGTACTGGCAACACTTCTTTTGAAGGTCTTCAAATGGCCTGACTCGTAGTTCCAACAGATGTGACTTGCTTAAAGGGGCCATTAAAGAAATTTTTGGCTGAGATCAATAAATTTGAGCGACTGGCTAATCTTCTAGGTGGAGAATGGCGGTGTTCAAATACAGAAACGAGGGTCCGAGCAAGAGGAGAGATCCTCCTTTCCCTCTTATTGAATTGTTTGGTACACAGCGATTTGTGAGTTGAGGAGGAAAGCTAAGAAGGAAAAAGTAGAAAAATCGTTTCACGGCCCCTTTAAGCGCTACTGCGAGAGGAGTGCGTGGACGTACAAGCCAAACTGCCAGATTGGTAGTTGCTGCCAGTTGATCGCAGTTGACAACACAGCCGCTATACTCTGTTCACCTCTGAGCTGAGACTGTGGTGGAAGCTACGAGCGCATTGGGCCAGTCATGTTGCCACGTGATCACGCTTTCGCCCACATCCTTGAGCGAAAAGCTGGGGTGACGAAAGGCAGGCGGTTATTGGTCTGGCAAGAGCGTAGATCCCACCGAGTGTCAGCTGAAGGTTGGATGGAGTATAGGTAGCTTTTACTTTGTTGCAGCTGAAACTGCATTTGGCTAGGATAGGTGGCGCAAGTTGTCGCCTAATTCGGCCAGTCACGCATTTTGGAACATTATAGTGGATTTTTATCAGGATGGTGTAGGAAATTGCCTTTGGTGCATAATGGCACAGGAGTGGAATCACTGCATTCTTTATTCATTCAGGCTGTTTAAAAATTGCTGTTTTCTTTAGCATATGTCCTTTAAAATTAAAAAAAAAGGGGGGGGGGGGGGGGGCAAAACAAAACATGATTTGATGGACCAATTTGCTCAGTCAATTTCTCTCTTTAGTTTTCTTTCACGAGAGACAACTTTGCTGCAGGTCTGCGTGCGTAGGGTGTGAGATGGCACAAGCCATCTCATGCACCGCCACCAGCCTCCAATGACCTAGAATTATGGCGGCGGCACGCACGTGTCAAACATTCGGCCAAATTGGCCTATTTGGGCACCGCAAGCACTTAGAAACCCAGCCTGAATCCTACCTACTGAGCAAGCAGGGATACAATTACCTATTGAAACGGACAAAATGGGTGCCAAAGGGTGTCGACTTCAATTACCGCAACACAAAAAAACTAAAATAAAAGAGACCGCCACAAACAACAGAACTTCACGAGTTGCCCACATGGTGACACAACACCAATCACTCGTGAATGTTCTATCTATTTAATTATAAAAATTCAGTTTCTCCTAAAGTGTCGGGCGGCTCTTGAAATTCCAGCTGCACGCAAATTTGGAGCGACAAGGTACCACAGAATAAAAGTGAGAAAAAAAAGGGAAGGGGTGCTCACTTCTTGATGAGGATGAGCTCATCGTCGCACACCTTCTCCTGGACCACCTCCTCGGCCTCTCCCAGCATGCTGGCGTCCACAGACTCCTCCCCTTCCATGTTGGCCAGGCTGACCAGCAGCTGGGCTGCGTGCCGGGTAAAGGCTCAAATGCGACACAAGACAGTACTACTTTGCTAGGCGCGAGCGATTAGGTTACTTTCCGAGGTCGTAAGTTGTTACTCTCCCCTCTTCATCCAGATCGCTTCTCAAGCGTGGTTATTACCATGATGCAATTATAACTAGTACTTCAACATAGCTTTTGCATGTCTAATGTATCTGCCAAACATTTTATACCGGAAGCTGCATTTCATCTTCAACGACAATCTGAAGTTGCAACTGTGTGACCAGAAGGCTCTGACCAGCGGTAATCATAGGGTTTATCATAGCAAGCTTAGGCAAGGATATATATATTTTGTTTACTCCAGCAAAAGTATAATACCTTAATGGTAGCAAGGAAGTAGCCTTTCATTTACATGCTTTCTGCCTGCTTTCCCCATACCAACAAATGCAACACACACTAATTCTGCCACTTAGAGGATGCCATCACTCTACAGAATCGTTAGAATAACAAATGAAACGAGAGTAACGGGAACGGTGCCATGCCGAGAGTTCGGCTATCAAAGTCGCGCATGTCTCCCTCGCCCGAACTTGACAGACTAAAGCCAGAGCAGGGACACTCACCCCCGGTAGCCTTGGCAATGCGCCGGAGGTCCTGCTTCTTGCAGCGGCGCACGCCCATAGCGCCGGCCTCAACAAAGTACTTGAGGCAGAGGTCGTCGATGCCGCCCGTTGTCAGGATCACATTGGCCCCGGCATTCAGGATCTTCTGGATTCGCTCCTTTGTGATGTCCATCTCCCTGGACGAGAGAATGTGCAACAAAATAGCCTGTAGCTTCGGCCTCCAAACAAAAAGTGGTGGAGAAAACAAAGTCAGGATGAACAAGTTGGTTATAAGAATCTAAGATTTATGGAGGGAATATAAATGGATGGACAGACATGTCCGCATGTCTGCTTAAATTCTTCGCTAGACAAGTGGAGCAGACAGCATGCCAAAGTGAGTGCAAACATCACTTCGGCACTTTTTCAGGGTTTACTTAGTCAGGGTGTTGATGGACACCGATTTCTACTGGCCTATTTGTTGTACTGGATGACCACCATTAATTGCTTCATTCGTGACAACGCCAAAAACTGGAAACTGCTCGTTTGTGCTAGGCTGCAGTCTGTACATGGATGCCATATACCGTGAATATAACGCAAAAACAAATTTTGATGCTGTCAGAAAAAAAAAAAAAAAAATATTATAACGCGAGCCGAGGCCGCGTAAATTTACTGCACCCAGGGGCATGGCAGCAGTGAAAAGGCAATGGAAATTGAAGAAATATCAGTTTGTGTTTTGACTGCACTCATTTTCATTGCTCAGGTCCTTCTGTTTGCAATCCACTTGACCACTTCACAGATATGCAGCAGCAGGGTGCAGCTTGTCTGGTAGTTCCTTTCTCTTTGGTGTCAGAGCTGTGAGCTCCTCGGCAGCCCACAAGCAAAGCAAGGCAAAAGCAGAAGCACCAACACACAAACACCAGATCACTCTGGAGCAGAAAGCAAAAAAATGTGTAGGCAGAAAGAAGACTGCACGATTGCGTAAACACAGTCGGTGGTCTTGTCTTGGCTTGGCTTGAATTGGCCAGTGCCAACATTCCCGCGTGGCGCGCTGCATTTCTGCGGCATGCTTTTCCGCGTGCATTGTACAAACACAAAAGCGATAAAAGTGCTTTTTATGTGTTCTATCCCCCCCCTTCAAGTGGCCCAATAGCTAATAAATTCCGTCCAACACAGCACTTCCCCCCCCCCCCCCCCCCCCCTTCTTTTCCCACCCAATCTCCAGCATTGAGCTGGAGGGATGGCTTTCTCCAGACTCGTGCACCTTGTGGCTGAATTCGATTCCAAATATGACGCGAGGTGCCTTTCGGAGCAAGTAATTTGGAAAAAAAAAAAACTAGCTTTATATTCGTGCCCAGCAGTGATTGTTTGAATGACATGGGGAATATGGAACCCTTCAATCACTATTGCGACGCAAGTTCCATCTCGGAAAAGTAGAGTAAAAAAAACCGAGATTTGTCGTACCAGATCCAGAACTGGAACTGTCACGGCCACTATGAATCGATAAAAGAATGCGACATGCTACGCAATCGACGTCTTACAGACAGTGGAAAAGCTACCAACAAGAGTTGCAGACCAGCAGGCAAAAAGCATGACAGCAGCTCTTCTATCTGGCATCTGCTAACACTAATCAAACTTTCTATTACGGCAGAATTAACACATTCATGGTTTTATGCTGCTTTGGACTCCCAAAATTTTTGGCCCTTTATTCAAAGATTAAGCTCAATCATTGCAACCAGATTCTAAGTGCCTTTCCAAAATCGTAAATGCAGAAAGCAAACACGATGGGCAGAGAACTTCCACAAAAAAAATTTTCAGCCTTTCCACTCGTGAAGAAGGAAGACCAGTGGAGCTGTACTCGATACACTGTGTGCTTCTTCGTCGTCGTCGTCTGTTTTTTGCGCTGTTTCCTACGATGAATTCCCACCAATGGCGCCAAACTATCCATTCTTCTATTACAGCTGGAAAGGTTGGCGCCATCTACGAGCGACGGCGCAAACCATACTGGTCGTGTGCTTGCCGCCGTCGCTCATAGATGGCGGTAGCTGTCCAGGTAGGTTTGTGTCGACATAACGAACACGATCCTGGGGAACCTAGCCCTTAACAGCTCCGCTGCAAAAAAAAAAAATGTTCCGAGTCCGAGGGAGTTCTTTCACACACCTCTGCCTGATGGCCTCCAGCTTCTCGGGGTCCGTGACCAGCACCTGCACCCCCATGTGCATCTTGGCCTTCTGCAGGCTGAAGTCCAGGCATGCAATCTTGGCATTCGTCACCTTCTTTGTCATGGCTGCAATGCACAGTGCACAAGCACCACTCAGAAACACCTACGTCACCGCTGCACAATCAGACAGGGCTCCAGACCTGTCTACAGCTCAGAAATACAAGTAAAGCGCGATCCAAATCAAGGCGCTTTTGTGCGTGCGTAGGCCGCGCGGCTCCCGGAAATTGCGTATTTTGTAACGTCGCGCCGATTCCTTGCGCCTTCCGGGCGCGCATGAAAAAGTTGGATGATTTCAACCTTTTCTAAACACCAACGAAAAGGCGCTGTGACGTAGTAGGGTACTCCTCTCCCGGCCAATCGGTGGAGGGCACTAGCTCCGGCTCCATATTTCTACGCCGTCTGGCACAGATGCTCTCCGCTCGCCCGTAGGTGCACTGTGGCACCGTCCTAACCAATGCGCATGGCTGTGACTCAGAAAGTGCCCCAAAACAGCAAAACCGTCACGAAATACGCAATTTCCTGGAAGCGAACGGCCTATGCGTGCACAAGAACGCGTTGGTTTGGATCACGCTTAAGCAAGCTCAGTTATTCGTCTTTGCAGCTTTTAATGGTGCGTCTGCACAGGCAAACACAATTAGACTTTCCCCGAGATATCAAAGCACCACCAAAGACAGCCAATTTGTATTTAGCGCAGAACAACTGAAAGACACTTTCAGTGATGTGATTGGCTCGAGTCATTTTGTAGCACCTTTTGGAACAGCCAAAAGCTCATTTTGTGGCAGCAAAAAGAACCTTTGCAGCAGAACTGTGCACTTAGTTCACATCTGATCTATTGTGAATAACATGTTAAAAAAAGTTAAGGTATCGGCCTGTCAAATAGAAATACAATGCCTTCTCTGTTGTCACACTGCTGTGCAACTACTCAAAGATTCTGTGCAACGTAATTATCTGTAACACTGAACTAGAGGTTCAGCCCTGCATCAGACGCAGAAATGAAATATTTTTACAATATGTATATACCTTTGTCCTTTAGAGGCAGCTGCATCATCTTTAAATTCCGAAAGTTGAAATAATAATCACCTTTCTATATCACTTCAAAGCTTTCATCATTTTAGCACACCAACGACCTTTTGCGTGTGGCCGTATGCAAAATCGTGTGTGGGCATTAAACATGTTTACTTAAATCCAGCATATTTCGCTCAGTCCACTGGCAAGCTTCTATTCGTCAGCAGCCAAAGCTAGTGTAATTTCAATTTAAACTACTTATCGATTGACTGAATCAAGGAGTGAAAGCCCTACCAGAAAGGTGAAAAGGAAACGAGGGATTTCACATAAAAAATAAACCTAAAATGATACGTCCTTATACCTACTCGGACTTGTATCAACCCTCTCGGTATAGACGCTTTCAGCGAGTCAGTTACTCGAGCTGCCACCAGTCGGCGCGCCCTTCACGCGCTTTCCAAGCCGCCATAGCCGACCTTCAGTTTCTTGCCGTTGCTCCGCGTTGTGTGCCGCACAGGCCAATACCGGAGCTTCGTTTTCGCATTCTTTTACGTTCCGCGTTGAAATCTTGTATTTTCTTTAGGTCTTTTCGATATTTAGGCCTTTCATTTAATCATTTGATATTTATATTTCGACATAGCTCTTGTATTTTCTTAATTATGGAATGGAATCGGGCAGCGAATGGGTCGACGATACAAGATTATGAGGCTTCAATGACCATGTAAGTTCATTCCATTCTTACGTTTTTGTCACTAATAAAGCGCAGTCAACACTATTGCGACATATGTAAATTGCAACTGACGCAGTAAGGCTATCACAGTCGTGCTTCTCGCTGCATGTGCACGCTCGTTTCCGTAAAGCCGCCCCGCATGTAAGCGATGAAGATTTCTCACTGTTGCCTGTGGCATCGCTTGGCTTTTTGGGTTTCTAGAAAACGTCGCTCACCGTCTTGGTCGCTTGCTCCATCGCTTCCATGCGGTTTGCCTCGTCGCGCGACTGCCCGAGCAACAGCGAAGCGGGTCACCGTCGCTCGTCTCGTTGCTCGCCGAATCACTTGCATGCGGTTTATACTCAATTCATTTCCACGCATACAGCATTGAACCAATGGCGCCTCGATATTAAGTATAAACCGCATGCAAGCGATTCGGCGAGCAACGAGACAAGCGACGGTAACCCGCTTCGCTGTTGCTCGGGCAGTTGCGCGACGAGGCAAACCACATGAAAGCGACTGGAGCAAGCGAACAAGACTGTGAGCGACGTTTTCTAGAAACCCAAAAAAACCGAGCAATGCAACAGGCGACAGTGAGAAATCTTCATCGCTGACTCTCGTCGTTGTCGTTGTCGCCGTCACTCGTCTCGTCGCACGCTAAATCGCTTTACGGAAACGAGCGCGCACATGCAGTGAGAAGCATGACTGAATATCCTTACTGCGTCAGTTGAAATTTCCATATGTTGCAATGGTGTTGACTGCCCTTTATTAGCGAGAAAAACGTTAGAATGGGAGGAACTTACATGGTCTCTGAAGCCATAATCTTGTATCGTCGATCCATTCGCTGTCCTATTCCATTTCATAAATAAGAAAATACAAGAGCTATGTTGAAATATAGATATCAAATGATTAAATGAAAGCCCGAAATATTGAAAAGACCTAAAGAAAACACACAATTTCAACGTGGAATGTAAAAGAACGCGAAAACAAAGCTCCGGTAGTGGTTGGTGCAGCACACAACGCGGAGGAACAGCGAGAAACTGAAGGGCGGCTATGGCGGCAGGGTCACGTGACGTCAAGATGGCGGTGCCCATGAAATGTTGCCTGAAAGGGTCTATACTTATGTATTATTTCTTAAATCTCGCCTGAAGAAACAATCACGACCCGACCAATGATGTCTGCAGCTATTGAAGACATTGCAGTTGTGCATGCGTTACAACTGTGGTTTTCTTTTGACAACTTTGTGCGATGTCGCATCGTCATATCAACAAACGCCAAATTCCAGATTTTTATTTTTTAAATACTACACTCGGAAGGTGTTTTCTCCTAGAAGCATCTGCTTTGCAGTGAAGCACAGCACGCAAAATCACACTGCCTAAAATACGGTTGCTTCTCTGCGGTGCATCAAAGCCTATTAAGAAGCACACTTCCAGGAGCTAGCAAAGCACCCAAACGTAGAAAAATTAGAGCTACAGATGTTGGAGAACTTCCATCAACTGTCACTTTCAATACAAACGTCTAATTGAACAGCATGTAATCTGAGTCGACATTACAAATCGCTCCATGTAGGCACCAACCTACTGTAACGATCCGGCAATGTTTCGGGACTTGAATTGTTAGAAAGCAGTCAAAAACCAAAATGAGCTTTTGGCACAGCACTGGCGCAACTTCCTCACATTTTGGTGAATTGTAGCAGCATGTAGCAGGTTAATCCCATTGGCACGGTTTGGTATAATTGGTGCAGAAATCCCATCACAGTACTTTCTACTGTTCTAAATCTGTCGGCAACCAGTTTAAATACCTTTACTAGAATGGTAATGCATTGCCAAAACCAACGGAGTCGTCGGTTACATTCCAAATAACCGAGTCATGCCCATTCGCTTAGCCTGCATTTTCTCTGAACTGCAAAATCAAGCTCCCCCTAGTACTCTAGAAATGAACTCCGGTCAATAAATAACAGGTTTGACTCATCGTTACTGAAATCGGAAGGTCGGTTCTACCTCACCGAAAAATCTTTTAGTGAACTGTGTTCCCCAATCCGACTTCCCCATCAAACTCACCCTGAGATGCGACGGTGCAGTTGAGGGCGTACCCGTGGACCAGCACGCTCTCCCGAGCGCTGCGGCCGTGTGCCTTGAGAACGTTCACAGCCTTGATCGGATAGCGGAAGCCCCCTTTGCCATCGGACACCCTTATCGCCATGGCGGCCTCCACTACCATGCTGGAGAAAAAGTCGGAGTCCCTGTGCCCGACCGTCCGTCAAGGAGCCAATACCATGGGCCACGGGCAGTGCACAAAGTCGTTTTAGAGCAATTTTGAAAGAAGGGAGGAATGTAACAGACGGGATCGTCACATGAACATTGTCAATAGGGGCTTAGTACTCCCGACAATGTTTTAGTGATCCCTTAAACTTTCAACTTAAAAAAATAAAACAAATTACTCTCTAAGAAAAACTGAAGCAGTCAAATTTTGGTTAAGTCTGTGAATTGAACTATATCACACCTATATTTTACCTTTGGGCCAGGATGAAATAGGGAAAGGCATACGGAGCAAAATGGTGCAATTTACACAGCAGTCCCATCTTAATCATGAAAGAGCACACTGCTTTAAGCTCCTTGTTTAAAGGAGCTCGTTCTACAGCATAGCTCCATGTTTCACACTTCCCCGAGTACCACATGTGTGTTCGAACCCGTTTATAATGAACTCCGTCAAACTCGCATTTCAGTTCCATACATCCCGTAATTTGCTATATCAAAACCGGGCCTACCGCAAATTTTGAAGTCAAAGCTTTGTAATGAACTATTATTTTCTTGACGCTACGGTAAACTCGCATTAATGCATTCTTCAGCGGACTGCGAAAAACATTTATGACCCGCGAAAATGTAACTGATGGCACTCTAGGCGAGCTAACAGCTGGAACACAAAGTAGCCTTCGAACTCTATTCTGCGAGGACATTTACAAAATCGAAGCATTCTGGTGCGTGCGGAAACAAAAATCTTTTACTATTTTAGGTGACCGCAAAGCATTTTCGTCTGGGCTTAGATTTACGATCTGCAGTATGGCAATCGTGTACTTGAAAGAAATGTGATTTTGCTCCGGTGAAGCCAGAGTCCAAGCAAAAAAAAGTGAAACCATACAGAGTCGAAAAAGAGAATCATAGAGAGCAGTCAAGCCGCAGCGACGACTCCTAGTTGCACACGAACGCCGCCGCCTATCCAGCCCCGAATGCAGGCAAAAGCTTGATGATCCCCAAACTCTGTACTTTGCACCAAAGAATCATTTCCAGCTTGTCAAAGAACAACAAAGACGGTTCCCACATTTCCTGCATGAACCTGATTAGCACGCTAAAGTCAAACAAAAAAAACAGAGCTAACAAACAAAACATAGCAAGCGATGGTTAGGAAGCAGCGGTCCCCTTGTCTGAAATTTCGCAATCGGAGAGCACTTGGTAAGGAGAAAAACAAACTTTGAGTGACGCTGCTCCCAACAACGTGTCCTGACCCCGACTTTATTTTTTATTTTTTTTGTGTGTTTCTCTCTGCAATGGGTCGCCCTTTTTGTTTGCTATTTGGGAGGCTTTACCTTACGCATTCCCTTTCACACAATAATTTGCTCCATTCGGGCTCGCTATAAATGGGTTCAACAGTAGCCCCACCGCTCGGCATCTTACGCCAAGTAGTTCCAAACAGTTTCCGAGGCCCCAACCAGATATAAAATGCCAATGTACATTTCACACTTCCCACTCTTCCTCCTTTTTTACTTTATTACATCCTCTCCTCCCCTCATTCTGCACCAATATGGCTCCCCTTGAAGCTCAGAAAACAAGAAGATTGCCTCACCCCCCCAAAAAAACCAAGGTTATATGTTTGTTTTTAAGAAGTATGGATCATATGAAATATAGGCACTTAGGTGCACAGTGCAATAAAGCACCCTTGTTCACGTTCTCGTGACAGGGCTTCCAGTAGCCACGCATGGGCAACGAGGCTGTCAGCTGATCTGCTTCCAGAACAGGAAAGGATACGGTCCAATCAGCTTTGACGCCATGGCGGTCTTGGCCACATTCACAACACACTCGTGGCCCAGTTCCTCAACAGAGGTGGTCAGGTGCTCCTGGATGTACCTGCAAGCCTCCCTGCAAACGACGCAAGGGAGCAAAGCAATGCAAGTCTTGGAGCAAACTGATCGAGCAACAGACAGATTCCCCATTCATACTAGGGGGAGGAGCCATCCATTAAGGAAGGGACATTACCCAAAAGGGTCAACTTTTGAACCTATGGCTTAATATGAATGAAATTTACAGTATACACTGGCAGTTGCAAGGCAGAATGCAGTGCAACATTTTACCTACGAAAATGAATCATTAAAAATTTACGATTTTTTTTTATCAGGAACTGGCCGACTTTGCTTAGGAAAACTAGCTGTAGGAAACTAATGTAATATCCAACATTTTTCAACTCTATATCTGCAGCAGACTGCCTGGCAAGCACAACTGTGAAAGCAAAATTTCCAAACAGTGATTTATTTTATGCTAACATCCCAGTGAAAAATCAAATAAATTTTTTTGCTTTTTATGTCGTCGACCAAATTATAACATCTTTTATAAAAGACATCCACAAAGTCAAAAAAAAAATTCCACAGTTGCATTGCCCATAAAATTCTAGTGAGAAAAACAATGAGTGAGTCTTTCCTCTTGTCCCATTAACAAACAATAGTTTTTCTAAAGTGAAATTTATGGCAAAAAGTAGAAAGATGCATTCAAAGTGCTCCAACCCCTACCCCTTCCTCCGGATAATTTTGACTTTACTCACTTGCAGGCGAGACGGTAACCACTGATGATGGAGGTTGGGTGAATCTTGCACTTGACCAGCTCGTCGGCGTTCTTGAGCAGCTCGGCTGCAATGAGCACCTGGTACGGGAAGACATTACGCATTATGCGATATCCAAGCTAGCTTCAGTTTGCACGCATAACCTTAACTTAAACCTTGAAATAATGACACGTCGGAAAGCGAAAAATACACCGGGCATTAAACATACCGTATTTGCAACAATATCGACATTTCAATGTCACTTCCATTTCCCACAACAACCAATACTTTGAAGGGAAAAGTGGTGCTTTAGAGGCCTAGTACTGACCTTTTCATCTCAGTAGTTACCTGACCGGTGGACAGGGGCGCTGACCCACATGGCGCCATAAGGTATCTTCAATTGGGTTGGTTTCGGTGTCAGCGCGCTCACGGCTGTGTTGTTGTGTTATGTCTTTTTTTGCATAGCTTTGCAATATAAATCTATTCCTTGTGGTACAAACCAATAATACAGTAATAATGGGCCACCATGAAAACTATGACGTAGTTACGAGCCTAAATTGTGGACATTTGAACAAACACCTTTATCTGAATACGTTCCTTGTCCGGCCAGGTTCGGTGGTGAAATGACTGAAATGATGCCGTGGGAGGATTAGCAATCTCTACGGCCATACTGGACGTACCGGCTGATACAAGTTTCCATAAAAATTAACTAACGAAAAGACTAATGCTTGGAGGCAGTGAAAAAGCAAGTTGCCAGTCTAACAATGTGTTTAATTGCACAGAACAAATGAACTCGAATGTTTATAGTGCTCACTGTTCGGCTTTCCGAGGACACCAACGTTTTGTGAAAATTGCCAACAAGGAAACCCCCTGTAATGACGCATGAAATGCAAAAAAGAAGCGATATATCGTTCTTTAGAGAAATTAAAATCTCGAGTGATGTTTCTATGGTGCTTCCTAGGCAGAGTAGGACATTTTTCCAACTATCAGCCCTGCTAAAGTATTCATTAGCAGCATTTCACGATGTTGAATTTAGAAAACTATCTGTTTTACGAACATTTCCTTACAACGTATTGAGAATTTAAGATAAGAGACAAACCCACCAATTGAAGTCTGACGTCTGTCTTCCGTATAAATTGCGGAATGAAATTGAATGGTGCAAGAGAATTGACCTCCAGCAAGCTTGGCTCAAGTCAAGTGCCAGACACTGCTTCATGGATCTGTGTAGGCAGATGTTTCGTTTGTTTCAAGAAGTATGCCTTTTACTTTCAGCGGCGTCGAGAGTAAGTCCGGCATCAACAATAGTGCACTCAGGTGATTTCCATGCAGACGGCTTCTTTTCGGCGTCACAAAATGCATACCTCGGGCACTTTCGTCAGGTGCTCACGAGCTGTCATTGACACGTTTTTCACCGTGGGATGGGCTCCCACGGTGAAAAACGTGTCAATGCCCTTTGCACCTGAATAAATTAGTTAAATCGGATATCTTAAGAAAATTGAATGAATGTAGACATGAAACTGAACACAATGTATAGTTTCTTTAAATTCATAAATAAACAGATCAAGCAAATGTTTATACCGCAAAAGTGATTCCCCCATAAAATAAAAAGCAGCCGTTTTGGATGTGTTATAAATGCAAAGCACAACGCTTTCAAGAAACAGACATAGTGACTCCTTGCATTGACTCTCTTTGCCTCCTTTAAGATCATAAATATACCTTACGCTTCTTATTGCGTCATAGATAATCGGCTTTTCAACCCTCGTGTATCTTAGAGTCATCTATACACTCAATGTGCGCTAGTGCTAACTCTGATTCATTTCCTCACACGTATCCAGTATGCCGATGGTGCAAAAAGTCAAAACATACTATAAAATCAAGTGCACAAGTTGTACAAATAATCAAAGCATGCAGTTAGATAGTAAAAATAAGTATCAGATGACACTTCCCAAAGCCAGATAAAAAAAGCGTGGTAAAATGCAACGAAAAACACGAATATAACGCATTCGCCTGGGTGCGGAGGGGAGAGAGGAGCGACGATTTGAAGCCTCCTTATGGCAGCCGCGTCACGTGATTCCAAGATGGCAGCACCCATGCAACGGAGGGTGGAAAGGTCTATATAATGTAAAGCCTAATCTAAAAACAGGTCAACTTAGTTTCTGCTGACCTACTAGAATTGGTCTCTGTCCCCTTCTTCGTCCTTGTTTATTCGGCACTTTCCATTCAGTGATGTACCAACTAGCCCGTTTATCTATTCTAGAATTGGTTGCTATCCTACTGGAAAACTTTCAATTTCTAACCTAGAGACATTCCGTTGCCACAACCCCTTGTAGCCGTGTCAACAATAATCCTATGGGGCTGAAGGATCTCACAAGCAGAGCAAAGTCGAAGGATTCCCAGCAGAGTGAAATCCAACGTCACAAACTACAATCCATTTTTTGTTTTGTTTTTTGTGATTGGTTAGGTATTTTAGCACAGCACGAAGAAAACTCACTTTCCGCTCCTCAACAGACGTTAACTCACCACAGATGTCGTGCCGTCGCCGACTTCTTGGTCCTGCAAGTCAGCCAGCTCTACAAGCACCTTTGCAGCCGGGTGCTCCACCTCCAGGAGCTTCAAGATGGTGGCTCCGTCGTTCGTGATCGTCACGTCCTGTGGCGAAGTCCCCACAAAGCAGGCCGAAAGAAAAAAGGAGGGAAAGGGAACCAAACATTAGCCTTTCATTTTGCTAATCGAATGCTCGTCACAAACAAGGAAGAGACGTGAGATCGGGCACGAATGCGTCACCCCTCATATCAACGTGGACTCCACACAGTAAACGTTCAGTCCACTACTTTCATATCTGTAATAACGAGGGAGAGGGGGGGGGGGGGGCTGCATGTTGTGGCCTAATGAGCCCGGAAATAAATAAACTAATAAAGCTGAGGGCTGGTGTCGCTCGGTTCGTCATATTGTTGTGACCAGACACAAAATATGCGTGAGAAATAGTTTTACACATCACACCACCACATTTAGAAGAGACGATAAGTTCCAGTTCCCTCAGATACAGTAGAATAACCATTGACCATTGCTAACCAGAGCAAGATTAAGGAAACTTACCCCAATGTCATCCACCAGCATTTTGTCAAGGCCAACAGGTCCCAGGGAACTCTTGACAATGTTCGCAATTGAACATGCTGCCATCACTGGAACAGAGGCAACACAAATAAAGTCACGCTGATAAAAACTGAAAGGGTATCTCATTATATAGAGAAAAGTGTAGCAAGAGCAAAGAACAAAAGATGTGCGCCTTTTCAACCCTCATATCAACGTGAACTCCACACGGTATGTTCGGTCCACTACTTTCTGATTTTTAGTAATCACAGGGGTGACACGCACTGTGCAACAACGAATGTCGCCGCGATGGATTCGAACCGACCACCTCGTGCTCACGAGGCGAACGCCGAACCATTGCGCCACACCCGCAACCAGATATTACGATACCAATCGTTAATAATGAGCATTTGAGCTTGTGACCCAATCGAGTTTTTCGTATTGTATGCATTGTATTATCCGATTAGTAATCTACTAGAGAAAGCCAATAAGCTACCAGAAAGAACGAAAACACTGTCCGGCTTTTGGCACAAGTACCGCCTTGAAGGGCGTAAAAAATTTCTAGCAGAAAACCTGCGAACTTTAGCAATTAACTCTCTCTCATTTCTAGTACACGAACCAGGTATTCTTTTTTTTTTCTCCACTTGTTTTCGGCGTTGGCGATGTGGTATGAATAGGTACGAGCTAGACGATCGAATTTAAAGCTATTCGGCCTAAATCTGTCCGTTTGAAACAAAACATTTGGGCGAGTCACAATGTGTACAAGACATGTGTGGGGTTTTAATATACAGTGTGTGCCGGCGTGCGCGTGAAAATCGACAAAAACCGCACATGTGACCGGTGACAACCACCGCCAAGGGAGCGGCCATATATGGAAGTTTCTCGAGGCAATGCCAGAGTCCGCGTTGCGTTTTGAACAATCGGTGTCCTTCGCTTCAACGTCCGGACAAAGACGGCCCATTTAAGCCCCCTATTATCATAAAAACCGCCCAATTAGTACCGTCAACACCGGCAGAAAAAGTGAGAAGCGCCTACAAAAAACCCATACATTCACGCACGTGATCCACACATTCGAGGGCCGATTCGTGCGGACGCCACGCTACAATCCCTTCACGGAGAGCGGAACAAATCTTACCATTTTGGGTGCGTACTGATGCTCCAGATGAGCGCTTTCCGAGCACGGATAATCCTGTTCCTACAGACATGATCGCTGCCTGTTTTTCTTTTCGCCGGCTAGTAAGCAGTGATAACCCTAACCTGTGGGCCAACTTTTAGCGTCACAAAGGCGGCTTTCGGCCAGAGTCGTTTATATGTAGACAGAGAAACAAACGTTAAGTATTATTACAAAATTAGACGTTGACTTGCGCCATCTGATCAAACATTTTCCTACTTGTTCATTTTGGTAGAAATTGCATACGGTAGATGGCAGAAGCTTGAAACCTAGTGGCGGCCTCTAGTTTCCCGAGGGCGAATTAATATCAGGTGTGTGCGAGAAATTCCTTTTTGTAGCGGTGTGCCAGGTGTGGAGTTTGAATTCGTGGGCACTTCTTCGGCGTTTTAGTTTTAATTAAGTGCCAGAACTTCATCGTGCATTCATAACAGGAGTGATGCGTCTTTATTGTTAGGGACCACACTGATCTGATGGCTTCATAGGAAGTGTTCTGAAGTGTGCGCCGTCTAAAAACACACCATGAACAAGCAGTGGAAACCACTCATCTCAAGAAGTTGCCTCTTTGCAACCATCGAGGACGACCCGTTTTCTCACTTGGACATTACATCGTCGGATCACCTGGACGAAATCAGCGAACGAGGTTGCTGTCCCAAGTGCAACAAGTCTCGGATGTACTTCTGCTACACGTGTTTCGCCGCCGTCGACTGTGTCCGTGACAAAGTACCCCAGTTGAAGGTAAACTTGTGTGGCAACGCTGTAGCGACGAACGAATAAATCATTTTTGAGATACTGTTATTCGATGTTGATGTAACTTGTAACCGTATTCTTTCAGCTGCCGATAGGAATTGACATCGTGAAGCACGCTGGCGAGGTCGACGGTAAAAGCACCGCTGCCCACATTGCAATCCTAGCTCCAGATGATGTGAATGTGTACATATTTCCGGATGTCCCAAGCTACAACCGTGACGAAGTAAGGCTCTTTTCACCTTATTTTAAGGTAGCGCGAGGCACCTGTTGTGTGCCAGACCTTCCTGAGTGCCGTCACACTGATATGTTCTGTTGGGAGTAGCACTGGAAAATAATGCTATTATCGATAGAGAGACGGGGAAGAAAGTTGTACAAAAACACGGGACATTTTCTTTTGCCTCCGAAAGGGGGGGGGGGGGGGGGGGGGAGGGGAGGGGAGGGGAGGGGAGGGGAAGTCCAGATTTGCATTACTCGTCCGGCAAATAACCTTATTGACATCACCAAATGCATACACCAAACGTTGACACATGTCTTTGTGGGGTGACCAGACGTCTCTTCTTGGGCGACACAGTCCCGTTTTAGAGCAAAACCGAAATAGTCTATTCATTAGAGACGTAACTTTATAAAAGATAAACATATATTGAAAATGTTACCTCCCATACATCACAATGTTTTAGCTCTTTCTCTTGTTACATCTTCCAATGAATCTGCCAGACTTTTCATCTAGCATACTAGTGAATTTGACATGTTAGTTTGGCAACAATAGAGCACTTCTGAAAACTGGCGATGAAAGTCGCTTGTCTGAAATGTTTACTTTGCACCTGCCCCCCTCCCCTCCCTCCCTCCCTCCCTGTCTCCCTTTCTCCCTCCCTCCTTCCCCTTACACCAGAGTGTCCCATTTTCTACCCTAAGGATTATGGTCACCCTTGGTCTTTGGTGTTTTAATGTATAAGAAGATTGGCTACAGAAAATACCTTCAGCACTGCCGCATTATCCAGTCATCTGCTAATTCAGATCAAGACTGCGGTTCAAGCTGGAGAATGGGCTGGAATAGGGTTTTTGTACTGCTACAGCAGTACATGCATAGTTTACATTTTGTGATAGCTGAAGGGTTAATTGGTAGCTCGCACTTACGCTAAGTGTCATCGCCCAGCTCGTGGATCATAGTTATGGTAACTTGCCTTTGCTTCTGTTTAAGGCTGACATGAAGCAGAGGGTAATCTTTTTCCGATACATTCCTGTTTTCGTCCTTAAGGTGCTGCTAATATTTCCCGGGGAGAATGCCCAGTCGCTGGAAACGTTATGGGATTCCCATCACAAGTCTCACCATGACGCTTCTCTGTCGCCCTGCGTCGTGTGCCATCAAGGCCATCCCACGATCCCATGGAAGAGATTAGTGTTCATTGACAGGTGAGTTATTCTAGAAATCCATGTCAGGGAACTCCCCTACTTAGAAGCACATTTTTTTTTTTCTTTTAGTGTTTTCAAAAGCTTTTCCATCCAGCAACACATTCAATAATAAAAATAAATGAAAATCACATTCAGAAAGCAAGAGCCTTTCGTTTCGGCGCTTGCTTTCTCGTAATTTAAAATATGGTTAATCTAGTTTTTGTTTTTATTCTTGTTTATTATTTTCTGTTTCTGTTTCTGGTAATGTTCCATGGTATTGCAGAAAAAAATGAAAGCCGTTTACAAATCCCTGTAACGCCGAATGGGAGCGCAGCTCTTGAGGAGGAGTAGGGAAGGGTACTGAGGGGGGTCACGTGATCTCGGGGGAGGGGGGTCACGTGACCTCAAGGGGTGACGTGACCTCGGGGGATCACGTGACTTCGGGGGGGGGGGGGGGGGGTCACGTGATCTCGGGGGGGGGGGGTCACGTGACCCCCCCCTCCCCCTCCCCTCCGCATACGGCGACGCCGACGCCTACGCCGACGCCGACGCCGCTCAGGCTGAAAACGGGCTCCTAAGAGCTGCGCTCTAAAAAAGAAAAAAGAGATCACATATGCCAGCGAGCATACTCGATGGAAAAATGCCACCTTACCCATTTTTGTGTCACCAACTTTATTCCCACACTCCCTTGGTAATGCTCCGTGGTGTTGCGGAAAGGAATCACATATGCTAGCGAGCGTACCTGATGGAAAAATGCTACCTTACCCATTTTTTTTTCTCACCAACTTTATCCCCACATTCGCTCCTCTCACCACCACAGCCTGTTAGAGCTCTGACAGCTCTGCTTCTCGTAAATTCCCGAACCAAAGCCCGGCCCCAAAATATCGCCCACGTAATGTTTCCCCTAACCCTCTACCGTGGGTGGGTGTTTATTCGGGATTTTAAGGAAGCTAACTTTGTGAATATTTATTCCTATAGATATTATTTCCCTCTCTCTAGTATTACAATGTACAGGGATAGCAAGAGAACATAAGTGACTGTCACGACTTGTCCATAAATTCGGGGTCTCTGTGCACTATGCTTGGAAGAAAATACGCTGTGCAAGTAGGTGTCCGTCCAGGAGACTTTCTGATGTTGCATTGACGTCACCTGCGCAGTGTGATTTGTTGCTCCCGCGTCTACGCAGTGGAGATGAAAAACAGCGGAGAAAGAAGCCGCATCATGCTAGTCTTGGCGCTGGACATCAACTTCAAGAAAGGTTTTATATCCAGGGGGGCTATGTTGCATGTTTTGGACTCCCAGGAGACTAGGGAGAAGGAAGTGACGTCAACAACGCTCTTTGAATGTTGATTCATGGAGTCGCTGATGACGCGTTGCGTGGTGCTGCTAAGATTCGTTCATTCACACCTACGTCACTTCCTTTTCCCTAGTCTCCTGGGAGTCCAAAACGTGCAACATGGCCCCCCAGTATTCACGTAGGCGTGCATTTCGGAAGGGCTACGGAACTCGATGTTACACTATTTCAAACGGCATGTCGCGTAGAGCGTGGACATCGTTTAGATCTTTCTTAAACTAAGCTAATTCATAACAATTCTAGAAACTAAATACACAAGTTTGGGGTGCACTTTGATTAAGGTAAGATTCTTTTCTAAAGCTTACACACCTGACTCCCTTTGCACCGAGCGGCCTGCGCGTCCCAGGTTGCACAATCGAGACCGAAGGAAGGCGAAACCGAAAGCGGAACACGACCGGACGCGGCCTGCCCAGTTGGCAAACAAGTCGAGAGAGGGCGCCACGCATGCTGTCAGAAATGTAGAGTCACAGTGTCCACAGTGCTCGCTTTTCTGTTGCTTGACCGGATTATTTAAACACTTTAAATTCACGGTGTGCACTCATGTGAGACCGTGATTGGTCGGCACTTCCGACTTGGCCATCTTTCCTACGTGTCTCGCGGCCTGCGTTTGCTCCTGCATGTGTAGACCCGATCTGGAATCCAGTAGTTATCACTTGATGAGCCACTATATCGCAGCTATCATATACAGTGACTAGTATGTCGGTGACAGCTCAGAAAGGTAGGGCAAGAGAAAAGAAGGTGGGAGAGGAGGGAGCAGACGCAATGCTGGCGAGGGGAAGGGATCCCCTCGCCAGCGTTCCGTTTGCTTTCTCCTCTCCCATTTTCCTTTTCCTCGCTCTACCTTCTTAACCTGCAACAACTTAATTTTCGCGAATCGTATACAATTCGTGAAAAATGAGTCCCGCGAACATTTCCTGTAAGATGTAAACAGATTGGAATGTATATAAAGGTCCCACCTTGTCGCGAAAATTAGAACCCGAGAATTATTCCAAAACTTCAGCTTTTACTTAAATCGCGAAATATTGAGCCCGCGAAAAATAAGTCGTTTACAGTATATATCACCTGTTTGGGGCCATGAAAAAAAACCCGCAAGGACGCCGTTTCACGGTCACTGATGAGCTGGAAGCAGCTGTCCGGGCGTGGGCAGGGACTCAAACCGAAGAAAATATAACGTTTCGGTTACGATTACCGTTTCCTGTTGATATCGGTTTGGTTCCGGTTTTTTACGGTTTCGCTTACCGGTTGCACATTCCTAAACACAGTTTTTTTTTTCGGTTTCTCCAATGATTTATTTTATTGGAATGCTAGACAGCCGTTTTATAATAAACGGTTTAAAGTAGTCCCAGATATCCAACAACGGGGAAAAATTGGTTATGGTTATGTTTTTACTGACAAAGTTAGTCTGTCTTTAACGAGCGACTTGTCTCTCAGCTGCAGATGAGCAAGTTAGCCAGTGCAGTACACCCGCTAGCCTGGGGTCTTTAAGGCCACGGTCCCACTGAATGTGGCAGTTTAGGTACTTTTTGGCAACCATTACTCATCTCCTTTTAATTACTGTTTTATGGGATTGATGTCATTCGAAAGGCAATGCAATCCTCTTTCATTTAATATTATGTATGTGTTGGTTTTTACTGTTCATGCGCATTTGTAGCGTTGCGATTATGATGGCGCGGACCCTCACTTGCTCCGCTAGGTCATGTTTTATGAACGATCCATTAAAGATAGCACGGTTCCAATATAGCAGTTTTGTTAACATAATGTCGAAGCAGAATGTAACGATACACTTTTTTGGTATTTGCACTACTTTGTTTTTTTCATCCCTCCAAATATTGCCCTAAAATTGACATTTTTCAGCACAAATATGTTCTTAATGACAAGCGCTAGGGCAATGAAATTAGCTACAGATGTAGTGCTTATAATTGGTAATATGCAGAAAAAAATTTAATGTTGTGTAAAGATGTTTTGTTTAGATATTTTATATCAAACGTAGCACTTTTTTGTGCTTCGAGTCATGGTACTTCAAATGCCGCTGAGGAAATAATTAAACTATGATAAAATCTTTTATAAAATTTAGAGCTTCAGTGGTTGCCCAAGAGGTGGACGATGGCTTTTTTTCATTTTCAAAGTCATAACGCTCCAGGAGCCCTTCAAACTTACCTGTTTTTGACGCATATCTTTTTTGGACATCAAACAGATTTATTGGCATCTAATAACATTTATTGTTTGGAATAGATATACATTGCGATGTATTAAATTTTCACAATGATCTTGCTTTGGTTTTTCAATAGGTGTAGAGCTTAGCTAATTTTAAAAACAATTAAAAACTGTTTGGGTGTTTTGTTGCGCTACCTGGCGGATGGCAGACAAACTGCTGATTTCTAGTGTTCAAAACATTTCCGAGGGCGGCGTTGGCGTCTGTATCATCATCAATCTCCGTGTCTTTTTACCTTCACATTTAAAAAATATATTGGAAGATTTACTATCGATAAATGAATGGTTTAAGTACTGGGTCAGGTTAATAAATCTAAGACAAATAATTACACACGCGTAGCGTGATATAATGTGTTCATTATTCGGTATGATTGAAATCAATAAACAATAAAGACGAAGAGGAAAATAATACACCCGAGTTCACATCATGCCTAGAGTCAGTAAATGAGCTTTAAAGTATCGGCACTTTGTTCCCCAAAATTGTTTTGGGCGCCGCCATTTTGGGTCTTGTTCAGAGCAAACGCAACTGCCGATCGTCATGATGCAAAAGTACGACTTCCTCAGTATTATATGCGGTGCTAGGAAGCTGATGCAATATTGCAATGCTCTGTCGCAGGTTGTTTCAAAACTCGTGGGGGACGGAAAAGCGTTTCCTGTGATTTTAGATAAAGCTTCAGGTAACTGGCAACCATGATTTTTAAACCACAATATGGCCAAGTGTCGTTACTCTGAACCGTAGCTAATTACTGGCACAAGCGGGAACAATGAGGAAGAGGCAGGTGTCAAAAGGTAGTGGCTTGTGGAATCCACGGGGCTTACGTCATGGCCCTGCAGGTGTATTACAAGCCTCTTGAACAAGAGCATGAATAATGTCATTAAATAGGCTACGCGTCAGAGTAGCGACTCTTGGCCTTATTGTGGCTTTAAAATCATGGTTGTCAGTTATTTGAAGCTTTATCTGAAGTCACAAGAAACGCTTTTCCGTCCTTCACTTTAAGCAGTTTGCGACAAAGCAAAGCAACATTACATGACCTTCCTAACACCGAATCTAATGCTGAGGATGTCGCGCTTTCGAATCATGACGATCGGCAGTTGCGCCTGCTCTGCACAAGCACCAGAATGGCGGCGTTCACAACACTGTCGGGAAAGAGAGTGCCGATACTCTAAGCGCAGCTAATTTATTTGCTCTAG